ACACACAGCCACACAGGCACATAGACACACAGACACACAGCCACACAGACACACACAGACGCACTGACGCACTGACACACTGACACACTGACACACAGACACACAGACATAGACACAGACACAGACACGGACACAGACACGTGCAAAGGCACCGACACCGACACAGACAAAGACGCACAGACGCAGACGCAGACACAGACGCAGACACAGACACGGACACAGACGAAGACAAGGACACAGACACAGACGCAGACACAAACGCAGACGCAGGCACAGACACAGACACACACACACAAACACAGACACACAGACACACAGACACGCAGACACATTGACACGCAGCCACAGCCACAGACACAAACACAGAGACAGAGACAGACACAGAAACGGTCACGGACACGGACACGGGCACAAGCACAGGCACAGACACAGACATAGGCACAGACACAGACACAAACACAGGCACACACACACACGCGCGCACGCACGCACGCACGCACACACAGACAGAAACAGCCAGAGACAGAGACAGAGACACAGACACACGCACGTACAAATACACATACACACATACACATACACACAGACCCAGACTTCCTAGATGGTGTCGGAGTAGATTGGATCGGAGGATCGCGCCGCATCGCCGATACATCGGCGACGCATCTGCAGTGTATCGGCGATGCAGTAGCGATGTGTCGTCGATGTGGGCGATGCATCGGCGACGTCGACGTGAAGCAAATCGGGCTCCGCATCGAGCCGCATCGCCGATGCATCGCCGATGCGGCGCCATCCTCCGACCCCATCTACTCCGACCCCATCTAGGAGGCCTAAACTCTAGACTGATTTGAATGATGCCAATATTGGGTCGAACTGTCTGCATAATCACGGCGCACACTCCGGCTCGCCCAATTCGCGACCCCCTTCTGCTTCTACCTCTGTCTCCGCGCCGTGTCGCTCGCGAGGTATATTCCCTCTTGCCCCTCGGCGCGCTGCACGCGGGCCCGCTTGTGCCGACCCTCGTTGCGCTGCATGCGCGCACTTGGGGGTTACGTGGATAATCCTAAGAATCACGCGCGCTTCGCGCGCGCGCTAAGGTTCTAGGAACCTGTGGTCATAGTCTACGAGTTTTGCGGCAGCGGGGATAATATTGAGAACAAGACGTGCCTCATAACCAGTGCCACTCTATGCGCCCCCAATTCGTCGTCCCCGCGGACGCCATGCGATGGACCCCAACCCTGCGCTCTCCTTGCCCCAAGCCTCCCATACCCTCTGGTCCTGACTCCTCCTTTTTCCCTCCCATCACCAGCTCCCGTCTCTCTTCCATCACCAGCTCCAAACTGCTGAGACGACCGCAAGCCGACGTCAGATGCAACTCAGGCTCTCAGCCTGACACGCCTGGGCGCGAGCGGCAAACCGACTGACGTGCTGACGAACCACCGCTTCTGCGGCGCCATGGCCGATGGCAGTTAAGACCGTGGGGATGAGAACGAAGGAGGAAGGAGAACAGATAAATTGGCAGGGTAAGGAGCAACCTGCTCCAGAACACATGCTGAGCTGTCCGCGCAGCAATCTAACAAGCCCGTGCGCGAGTGGCGTACTGAGTAGCCCGCTGGGGGATCTCGGCAGCAGAGCACCTAGGGGAACAAAAAGTCACATAAACATAAAAACTCGGAGGTCCGCGCGGATTTCTCGGATCGGCCCTGGGGCCCCGCGGCGGCGCCTCCGGCGCCGCCCCTGGCGCGCTCCGCGCGCCAGGGAAGGGGGTCCAGCGCCGATCCGAGAAATCCGCGCGGACCTCCGAGTTGTTATGTTTATGTGACTTTTTGTTCCCCTAGCAGTGCCTTAGAGTGTCGTCCAAATGGAGCTCGTCGCGGGGCGGGGCGACCACTTTCCGGGAAGAGTGTCGCAGGAAAGGGAGCAGCCAGCTCCAAACATAAAACGCCGAGCACACTCCGACGGCGGAGCTCACTGGCAAGCCCCGGGCACGGACGTGTTCTGCTAGGGGGGCCTCTTGGGGCTGCTCGGGGCCGTGCTGGGCCCATCTTCGACCGCGAATGGGGCCCTCATCGTCCGTCTTGAGCCCCTCGATGGGCCCTCCTGTAGAGGCCATCTTTCACCGTTCTTGGCGCACTCTTGAGGCACCATTGGGCCGCCATGGGGTGATCTTGAGGGCCTGCCGGGCTGTCGTGGAGGCTAGAGCCATCGCGCGCGCTCAACTTCTAGCTAGCGTAGGCGCCAAATCTCGGAAATGGGCTGTGCCAGGAAATGTCTCAAGGTCTCTATTGCGCCTCAGGGCCGTTTTGAGGCCTTTGTAGATGCTCTATGCTCTATGGCCTCTCCCAGGGAGGCCATGTAGTTGATCTACCGAGCAATGGCCCGAAAGTGGAGGTCCTATTGGCGCACTTTTGCAACCTCTTGGAAGGGGATTCGGGAGGACCTTGGGGACAATCAATTCTGCCTCTCTGAACCCTCTTGAGAGTTCTTTTGAGAGCTCTCTTGGACCGCTCTTGGAGGACCCCCAGTGCAATCTTGGAGCCTTCTCGGGCCATCTTTCAATCCACTCGGGCAGCCTTCTGGTAATGATGGGCCGTCCTGGGACACCATCTTGGGCCGCTTTGGGGCCATCTTGCCGCACTCGTAAATTATCTTGCGGCCCAACACAAAAAACGCCAATCCTCTCTCGGGGGGGGGGGGCGGCCCAACATGCATTCACAATGCTTTTGCAAAACACCGCCCTCCTTACGTGTAGCCCTGCACAAATTGAAGCGGTGGGACTGAACATGATAAGACGTCTCTAGCGAGATCTCCATGTCGGAAACTGGCCGCCTTGCATGAGTGGAGCAGTTGAAACTTTGGAGCGATATGTGCAGCGCGAGCGCGAGAGCAACATGTTGAATGCCAGCAGCCCTCCATCCGAACAACTGTTGGACACTTCGAAAACGGATGTGCGCAACGGAAAGTCGTCAAGAGAGACATTTGGAATATCACCCGCCCTTCACCCGTAGAGCTCTTCGGGGTAACTACAAAAAACGTGCACACCGTGAAGGTGGTGATCCACACTTTGAAAGATGAGGCACCATCCACCCGTGGGGCTGCTGGAAATGTCGGAGCTTCACGATCACAGCTGACGGGGGATTCTCTTACGAAACGCCCGGCCGACGCTTCTGGTGGTACAGCGAGAGGCGACAGGCCGTGGACCCTTGAGGAGGCGACCCTCGAGTGGAGAGGACGAGCAATAACCACTGGGAAGAAGGGGATGGCAAGGTCCACGCGCAACAATAATAACATGTTTGACCAAATCTTTCGCTCAGCGCGCCATGTGACTTGCCCATCCCTCGAGAACAACCGTAAACGCGTAAGAATCAACGTCTGTATAATTACGCTCGCGCATGCACATGCGTATGCGGGAGGATGGAGGGGAGTACGGAACGGTCCGCGGACCTTTGAAGGGGCTGCTCTGGAGGCCAGGGCGGGCGTCATGGGAGACCTCGGAATGGTCTGGTGGTAGTGGCGGTGGAAAGCTGAAAGCTTGGGCTTGCGTGGTCTGAAAGGTTCTTTGGGCCAGATTCTTGGACTGCCTGGAGGCAGTCTGAAGGGTCAGGGGACGTGCCAAAGGACGTGCCAAGCGACGTGTCCAAGAGCCTCTTGGAGGTCTCTTCGAGCTGTGCTGCGGCCGTCTTGTGGCTCTCTTGTTTTTTTGTGGAGCCGTATTGGGGCTGTCTGGGGTGGCTTGGGGTCTTCCTGGGCCCGTCTCGGGGCCCTTCTGAGGGTCTGCATGCTGTCTGGGAGCGATCTTAGGGGGCCTGTTGCGCTGCACGCGCTTCTAGATGCACTGCAACCGTCTTGGAGGTCCTCTTGTGGCATCGGGAAAAAAACATTGGGTTCGTCGTGGACGCTGGGGTGCCTGACAGGGGGCCGCTTGAGACCCGCTTCGGCCGTCTCGTGACCGGCTTGCACTCAAGGGCCAAATCCCAGAAAGAATTTCGAGCAACCAGAAAAGTATCGAAACAGTGCCGAACGAGCATCGCCTCCCAGGGCCCGACACGTGAAAACCCTCAAGTTTCGGTACCTTCTTGGTGCTCGAAATCCTCCCTGGTGGTCAAGGCCAAAGTAGGCTGGAACATCATAACCTTGGGGGTTTCAGGAGTTGCCCGCGACACTCCGAAGGCCGAAAGGGCGAACACGCGATTCTGTAACAACGCAGGTAGGCAACTCTGCGATTGTCTGCCAGTCCAGTTGGGGGTCCCTTGGGAATTCCTTTCCGTCGCCCCCCCTTGGGGCCGTTTTTTTGGCGGCTCCTGGGCCAGCATTGGGCCGACCTCGGAGGTATATTGGGCCGCCGTGGCTGACCCCACGGTCTCCAGACACCTGGGCGTACACGCGGGCCCCCGGTGGCCTGTCGAGGGACCAGTCTGGGCCCCCCCAGGCCCCAGGCCGTCAATCTTCCTGGCAGAAACGCCCCCCCCCCCCCCCCCCTCGGTGCAGACGAGGCATGGCAGTTGCGCACCTAGCAACACCTAGGCGGGGCGGGGTCTCGTTGGGTGTGCTCGTGCTGCCACTCCGCTGGGCCCAAAGGGGCTGCTGGAAAGAGGAGTGACAAGGAGGAACAGCCAGAAGAGTACGGAGGGGAGGGTAGGAATGAGGAACGGAGAGGAGGAATACTAGCATTAGCACAAAGAGTAGGAGCAGGAGCATCAGGAGGATGATGATGCGCAGGAGCAGGAGCCCCAGAAGGGGGATGATGCGGAGTATGGGTGAGGGCGAGGAGGAGGGAGAGAAAGAGCAGCAGCGGCATGAGGATAATAATGAGGACGATGAGCGAGGGCGAGGCGTGATGAGGACGAGAGAGCAGGGTGACGAGGAGGGAGAGAGGGAGGAAACAGCAGCCCACGGCCCGGCGGCTGCCTCCCCAGCCCATGGGGGGCCGCCAGGCTGCAGGAAGCCGCACCCATCCGTCGACCTCGCCCGCCAGGAGCCGCGCTGCTTGGCCCGAGCGCGCCTCAGACCTCGAGGACCCGCCGGTCCACCTGCGCGGCCGACGAACGCTGGCAAGCCCTCATGAACGGATTCGTGACGTTGAGCTCGCCCGCGTGCATCATCACCGGGGGCGCGTCCCCGTTCTGCACCAGCACCCAGCTGGATGTGCTGTTCTCTCTGAGGCAGCCGCTGGTGATGTTGGGTATCAGATTCAGCGTCGCGCACTTGCTTCCCTGGTCTATGTCCCAGCCTTCGGCAGTGCCGTTGCCCATGAAGAGCCACAGGATGTTATCGGAGAGGTCCAATGATTTCAGCTGGCTTGAGGTTGACACGTGCGCGACAGTCCAGACAGGGTCCCAGTTGTTCTGTCTACGGTCGTACCTCACGACCTGGCCAGACTGGCCGACATACATGGTGGACGTCCCCTTCATCACTATCTTCTCTGCCACGCCCTCCACCTTGAGCAGGCGCTGCTTCTGTGGAGCACCCGGGAGGCAGTCCACGACGATACTCTTGCCTTGCAAGAGCACGAACGGACGGCAAACTCTGTTGGCATCGCAACCGAAACTGATGTCCGCAATGCTGCCGTCCAAATCGCAAGTGACCCGCGAGAAACGGAAGTCGTCATCGTCGGGGGTCGCATCGCTGCCACCCTCGCCCAAGCCGCTGACAACGTGCTCGATGCTCTCCAGCCCATCCTCGATCCCCTCGAGCCACTTGCCTCCCGACTCGTTTGGCTCGTTTGGGGCCTGCTGCTTCCGTGCCCTCTTAGCAGCGTAGACGTGGTAGCTGTCTCCCACGTAGAAGGAGTTGTCGTCTCCGCACGCCACCGACTCTGCATGGAAGAGCGGGGCAGGCCAAATTACCTTGACCTCCTGCGCAATCCACTCGATATCCATATCCGGATCGTGATCATGTCCAGGTCGTTCCACGAGCCAATCTTCATGGTAAAATTCCTTCATGGCCTGGCAGAAGCCGCACATCCAGAGTAAAATAATCGTCCCACCCCCAGAAGAAATCAGCCTGCCCGCGATGCGGGAATTCCGGCTAGCCTCTCGTTCACACATCGCATTGCGATTCCACTCAGGCGGCCCCTTGCGGTCCTCTGGCTTCCTCTGGCCACAAAGCACCTGCAATATGTCTACGTGCCCGCTCTCGCTAGCTATGTGCAGCGGGGTCCGGTTTGTGCCATCCCCCTGATTCAATGCCTCTGCCTGAGAATCGTAGCACTCCATCAGCCAAAACACTGCCTCCAACAGTCCATACTCACACGCGTAGTGCAATGGTGCCTTCTTGTAGCCATCGAAACCTCGTGCGGCTCTGCGGAGGTTCTCGGAGCCTCGGCTGTACACCAGAACCTGTTGGGCAGCCTTGCCATGACCACTGGCACAAGCAGCGCAAAGAGGTGTCCGGCCAAGTCTGTCCCTGAGAGCAAGGGTGCGCGTGCGTTGCTCCGCACAGCCATCCATGCGCTTTAGCAGCTCCTCCAGCAGTCTCGGATCTCCGACCGAGCAAGCGATGTGCAGGGGCGTCCGTCCCTCGGAGTCTACAGCACAGAGGGCGACGCCCACCTCCTCGTCGTCGAGGTCGTCCAGCAGCAGTTCCACGATGTCTAGAGAGCTGCTGGCAGCAGCCAGGTGCAAGGGCGTCGCCAGCTGCCTCGAATCCTCTAGCTTTGCAGCCCGTGGGAAGTTGTTCAAAAGGAAGCGTGCGACCTCCACGTTACCAGCCTCGCACGCGTAGTGGAGCGGTGTCTTGCCATGTGCGTCGAATTGGCAAGCGGCGCCATCATCGACATTGGACAAGGCACCTTTCATGTTCATAACATCGTGTGTGTCTTCCCGCCTGTAGTACACCCGATTGTTCGTTTTTATGAAATGGAATTTCGAAAGCAAGTGCAACATGTAGCAGGCCGGAATGCACACGCGCGCGATCCATTTGGCCATGATCCATGATGTGCGACTCGTCACGAGCAACCACTGTTCTCCCCTGCCAGCCATGACCGCAATGGTACAAAAGACGGGGGCGACGCCATCCAAGTTCCAAACCCAGATGTTGCGATTGATCTTCTGCACCTGATCTTCGCGAAATCGTTGTGGGTGCAGGTTGTCTCGACATGTTGCCAACGAGCCATCCCCGTACATGATCTTGAAAGGATGGTAATCCTTGAAATCCTGGCATATAACTCCTTCCTGGCTGTCCGTCAATATCTTAACGCGGTCACCAACAACAGGGCGCGACCAGTTCCCAATTTCCGAGAGTGTAACATTGATCACCACGAAGGCCAGAACCACTGCCCATAAGCACCACGCGCTGCTGTGGAGACCCCAGACCTTGGCGATGCACACGTAGCCAAGAGCTTGACTCAAGTTCTTTGTTCCGAAATACCCGCCACCGTGCCTCTGGGCACGGGGTGGGCGTGTCCTCGGGTCCTCTGCCCGAGCCCCTGAGCCTCAGCCCTCCCTCCCGGGGAGTCGTGGACGGGGGCCCGGACCCCAAACTCCGAAACTTGGCGGGGCCCCCGGCGTGCCCCTTGGCACCCGCCGCGTCTTCCCTCACGAGATCTTCGGGCCCCGGGAGGGCCCGAAGACGAGCCACGAAGGGCCCCGAGAGGCCTCCAAGACGGTCCCAAGAGTGCCCCGAGACGCCCAGAGATCGGCTCAGTCCCAAGATGGCCTCAAGAGGCAACAGCCACACATCTTCCAGAGGTTTCTGAAGGGTATTTGGCGTTCTCGCCTTTTCGGCCTTCCAACGCTCCGAGACGGCCCACGAGGCCCCCGAGACCACCCCAAGTGCTCCCAGAGGGCCCCAAGACGGCCTAAGAGGGCCTCAAGACGGCCCAAGAGGCGCCCAAGACGGCCCCAGAACGGGCCCAAGAGAGGGAACACGAACCGAAACAAGAGGCTCCCCTCAGGAGGGTCCAAGAGGCGCCCAGGAGGCCCCAAGAGGCCTCCAAGAGGCCCCCCAACGAACATTCAATATGCTTCATACCCACAACCCAGGCACGGTGGCGGGGTAGGCCGAAGGCCATTCGATAAAGCGCTGTTGGAACAATTGCTGAACGGCTTCCACGTGTCTTCGCGTGGATACCAGAACTCTTCCAGCCAATGGTCCTGGTGGTGCTGGTCCTCCACCTGCAAAGATGAATCGTTGCCACGGGCATGGCCGTCATCTGGCAACACGGACTGGTACCCGAGTTTCTCCTGCTCACCGCCTTCACAATCGGAATCATTAATCTTTCCGCCTCTTTTCTTCCCCTGCTTGGCAACGCCTGCCAGGCAGCCTGCTCGGCTGATGAGAGGATGAGACCTGAAGACCGCGGAGAGCGGCGGGCGGAACATGTCGGCTACACTCTGCCGATCGAACGCGCGCGTGCCTTCATCCAGGGACCACCTCTCGACATTTGATCTGTACCTTGACCAGGCTGGTCTCACCTGCGTCAACAAGAGCTCGGCAGCGTGATTATTGGCAAGGTGGGCTGCCATCACCGCAGTGATGAGAGCTATCACCAGCAGGAGCAGCGAGCTCGCCAGGCAGATGATATTCGCCGGCCCAGCGGGCCAGAGGCGCTCTAACATCTCCTTTTGAGCGGTACGGTGAACCCGCATCCCAGGGATGCGCGGTAAGGATGCAGGGGCCTCGGAGGCCGATGTTAACGTTTGTCGAACGAGGTTGGCCAGCGAAAATCGCTAAGCAAGGATGGGCCGAAGGGGCAAGGATGCACGGGTACTTTCGGGAAGGTTGCCCATCGTTGCTGTGCGGGCGCGGGGCGGCCCCTGGAGGTCCGCGGCCGAAAAGCGCCCCGGGCAGGTCCCGGGTAGGTCCCCAGCAAGTTCCCATCAGAGATGGTTCTGCTCCTGGGCGCCGCCCTCAGGGCCTCCCAAGAGGCCCAAGAGCGGCGCAGGAGGCCCCCGAGAGGCCCTCTAGAGGCCCTCTGGATGGTCCTAGAGGCCTCTGGGACACGACAAGATCGCTCCAGGACGCCCAAGATGGCCCTCAGACGGCCCAAGAGGTCTCCAAGAGCACTCCCAAGAAGGCCCCAAGAGGTAAAACTAATTGATTTCCCTTTGTTTTTTGATGGATTTGGGCGTTCTCGCCTTATCGGCTTCACGCTCCAACACAGCCCCAGATGCCTCCGAGATCGGCCCTCAATGGGCCCCCAGAACGGCCCAAGAGGGCTCCAAGACGGCCCAAGACTCCTCCTGGACGGCCCAAGGGAGCCCCAAGACGGTCCCAAGAGGGGACCCACAGGGGAAACCTTGACATACATTCCGAGCTCTCGGCCCCAAGAGGCGCCCAGGAGGCCCCAAGAGGCCTCCAAGAGGCTCCCAAGACGGCCCAAGAGGCCCCCAAGAGAGCCCAGGAGGCCCCCTGAAGGTCCCACGAGGCCCCCAAGCGGCAAAAAAGACGCCCCGAGAGGCCCCCAAATGGCTCCAGGAGGCCACGAACGAGAAAGTAAACGCCTGCGATGGCACAATACGGGCTGGCGGAATGAGCGAAGCGATTCAATACGCATTAACCACATATGCGGCCGTCTCTTCTGGCAAATTCACGGAGTCAAGAAGCAGAGACACTGCCAACCCTAATATCAATGTCTGCAGAAGAATGAAATTATTAAGAACCGTAATCTTTGACTGGACCAAATCACGGACGTCCTCCCGGTGCATAGTCTCTGATGTAATCTTCAGCCTGTCCTTCTGGTACCGGCGAGCCTGCCGCAGAGCCATGTCGTTCATCCAGGCATCGCGATTGTAGCTGTAGAGCCCGGACGCCCAGCTGTACAGGCCACCAGTGGCCAAACCACCCAGCCCCAGCACACTGTTGATGGAGTACACGCCCAACGTGAACATGCCCTCGACACGACGACCGCTCGCCGCGCCTGCAAATTCTGGGCCTGGGACGTCGGTGCCGCGCTGAGCTTTCGACAGGATCGCGCCACCGGCCCAGGCCACAAAAAAACGTGCCGCCCCGAGCAGGCGCAGGCTCGGGGCGCCCTCGGGCCAGACCGACTGGAACAGCAAGGACAGCGTGGTGGAAAATAGCGGCGACGACGACGACGACGACGGCGACGGAGTAGAAGGAGGAAGAGCACGAAGGAACGGGACAACGGAAACTGTCCAACTGCCTCCTTCGGGGCGCGCAGTGGTTGAAAACATGTTCTTCCTCCTCCCCCTCCTCCGTTTCGCGCGATCCGCCTCCTCATTGTCGTCGTCGTCGTCGTCGTCGTCGTCGTCGTCGTCGTCGTCCACCTCCTCCTCCGCCTCCTCCTTCTGCAGATTTCCCCAGGCTTTCGCTACATCTCCAGATGCCCCAGGAGAGCGGGAGGCCTACCACTTACCTGTGATTTCGGAGGGTTTGCCAGTGGCCGCTCGGACTCCAACCCCTCCAGGGGGGGCCTCTTGGCCCTCCCCCCAAGGGCAAGCTCGAAGCGCAGCGGAGCGGGGGGGGGGCACTCCACATCTCCATGCACAGTGTGCGACTACAGCCGCTCGGGATTCGAAACCTCGAGTTGGACGCCCTCAGGGGCGAGCTGGGGGTTCACCAGGAGTGTCAAGTCCACCCCACCTGCGCTTCCACAACATATGCGGAGATCCGCTGGGCTTCGACTTTCCCGGGCGGGAACCTTCAGGAGCCCCTCATGGCGAGCTGGAGGTCCAACCGGGAGCGAGGGGTCCACTCCGCCTGTGTTTGTACGAGGTGTGCGAATGGCCCTTCTGATTCAAACCCTCGGGGTGGGAGCCGTCAGGGCGGGCGCATCACCTGTGTGCTTATAGTGTATGCGAAAAGCCCCTCCGATCCGAGCTCGCACGGGGCGAGGCCGACAAGGATAGCGCAAGGGAGGGTGGGGGCGAGGGCGACGATGTGTGAGAGTGAAGATGGTGAGTGCAGGCGGCGATGAGGATGGTGTTTTCGATTGTGATTGTGTAGATGAGATCAAGTGTGAAGATGAGGATCTGCGAGAGGACTGAAATGAGTTATGAAGGCGAAGAGGATCGGTGGGTATGCTCTGTTCTGTTCACTTCTGCGCGGGGTGTCTAGAGAAACCACTCGCCCAACTCTGGGTGTGGCGATTGGCGCATGCTCCGGCAGCATTCAATCGCAACATACAATCTGCCGCCCCCCATTGCTGGAGCAATCAAGCTAGGGCAACTGAATTTCTCAACAACTGCGCAACTTCGTCTTCACCCATACACTTGGGGCACGTCGCAAAGTTGAGATATCTTCAGTCGCTCAGCAGCTTGGCAAGCGTGATTTGCCAGTCACCAGTTCTCCGAGCCGGGGGCGGTTTCTCAGGAGGCAAGAGGTGAACTTAGAAGTAAAACGCGCAACCTCCCACGGCCCGAACGGGACCCACTCCCACTCCAGAGCCACGTCCTCAGAGTTTCTGGGCCCCCTGGGGCACGCAAAAAGCCATTGACCCGCACCTTCGAGACTACAACCCCTCGTAACAAGGACATCGGGCCCGCGCATTCGAGGCCACGACCCCTAGTGGAAGGCACTTTTGGATGCCCGAGATCGGTATGAAAAGCTCAGTGCGATGCCTAACATCAACTGTTGTCCAAAACCGACAGCGGCCGCTGTTGGGCGGGCGACTGTTCGGCTGAAACAGACCACGTCCGCGGCGACACCGACAAGGTGTCCGTTTCAACATGGGCACGGACTGCTGTCGGCATTCGTACCCATTCTTTCCGTACCCATGTCGGCCGTACGGAGCAATGGGTCCGTGTTCACGACGCCCAGACCCCTGGGTAGCACGCCAAAAAGATCCGCGCCGTCGAGGCCACGATGCCCTTCTGCAAGCGATGGGTCCGCGCTCCCGCGGCCACGACCCCAATGCACAGTGGATCCGCGTGCCCGAGGCCACGGCCCGTTGCAAAAAGCAGTTGGCTCGCGCCTTTCGATGCTGCGATCCTTGCCAGCAAGACGAGGGCCCGCGCTCCCGGGGCCACGGCCTCCCGTGCAAAAAGGAATGGGCCCGGCGCCCTCGAGGCCACATGGTCCTCCTCCTCCACTTCCTGCTCCTCCTCCTGCTCCTCCTGCTCCTCCTGCTCCTCCTGCTCCACCTGCTCCACCTGCTCCTCCTGCTCCTCCTCCTGCTCCTCCTGCTCCTCCTGCTCCTGCTCCTGCTCCTGCTCCTGCTCCTGCTCCTCCTCCTTCTCCTCCCCCTCCTGCTGCTCCTGCTCCTTCTGCTCCTCCTGCTCCTGCTCCTGCTCCTCCTCCTCCTCCTCCTCGTCCTCCTCCTCATATTCAGGCCTTCGATGCCACGATGCGCTGTAGAAGAGCGACGGGTCCGCGCTCCCGAGTTCGCCAGATCCCACGTGAGAGGCCACGGACCCGCGCCCCGAGGCCCTCGAGGCCTCGAGGCATCGAGCCTTCGAGGCCTTCGGGATGCCACGCTCCGTCGCAACAAAAACCTCCGCCTCCTCCTTATCCGCCTCCTTCGCCTCCTCCTCTTCTTCCTCTCCTCCTCCTCCTCCTCCTCCTCCTCCCCTCCTTCTCCTCCTCTTTCTCCTCCTCTTCCTCCTCCTCCCCTCCTCCTCCTCCTCCTCCTCCTCCTCCTCCTCCTCTGGCCGAGCCTTTTAGGCCACGGAAACAGCCGAACAAGCTGATGGCCCAGGCGCTCGAGGCCACGAGCCCTGGCAACACAACAAGCACTTCGGGTCCGCGACGTCGAGGCCAAGATCCCGGGCAAAACAAATACCCTGTGACGCACCCAACCCATCTGCATCAAGTGGCAAGGGGGGTCGGCCCCAATTTGCCCAGACAAAGACAATGCTGGCGCCGTTATACGATGTGCAAGCTACATGGGATGCGCTCACACAGAACTGTCAGCGCGGCAGCAGCAGAGGGAAGGTGGCGGCAGGGGAAAGAGGACGACGATGAAAGTGACAGGATGAGATCGAGGAGTGTTGCTTCTGTCGGCAGTGCGCTGAATATGAAGCGCTGTCTGCGCCGTGTCGCGGCGCTCGACAACATGATAAAACATGCTTGTAAGTAGTGCAAGAATCGAGCGAGGCCTAGCTCGCCCGCCAGCTTCCCTGCTTCCTTCCTGACCGTTTCAGTGCGGGAGGTAGACGCTCGAAGGCGCGCCACCAGGTCTGCGGGCGGCCCGCGACAGCGCCCCGCTGGACCCCCCAGCAACCATCGAAAGTGGCGACAGCTTCGCAGACCGCATTCCCCCCAAGGATGGCGAGGTCTAATCTGAGTCTGGGTGGCGCCTCACTCCGCTGGGCACCCCAGCAGCCCTCGAACGCGGCGACAGTTTCGCAGACCGCAGCCCCCCAGGGATGGCGAGGTCTAATCTAACTCTGGGTGGGGCCTCACTCCGCTGGGCACCCCAGCAGCTCTCGGAAGTGGTGACAACTTCGCAGACCGCAGCCCCCCCAGGGATGGCGAGGTCTAATCTGAGTCTGGGTGGGGCCTCACTCCGCTGGGCCCCCCAGCAGCCCTCGAAAGTGGAGACAGTTTCGCAGATCGCAGCCCCCAGGGATGGCGAGGTATAATCTGAGTCTGGGTGGTGCTTCACTCCGCTGGACCCCCCAGCAGCCCTCGAAAGTGGCGAGGTAAAGGCAGGGGGAGGAGGGGAGGAAGAAGGAGACGGCAAGGAAGGAAGAAAGAAAGGAAGGAAGCAATGAGGCGCGCGACCGCAGTGCTTTATTTAAAACGAGTGCCCAACGCAGGAGGGTTGGGATCAATATAGGCCTCCTGGATGGGGTTGGAGTAGATGGGGTAGGAGGGTCGCACCGCATCGCCGATACATCGGCGATACATCGCCGATGCATCGGCGACATCGGCGATGCATCGGCGACGCCATCGTGGAGAAATCGGGCTCCACATCGAGCCGCATCGCCGATGCATCGACGATGCGGCGCGATCCTCCGACCCTATCTACTCCGACCCCATCTGGGAGGCCTAGAAACAAACTATGGGCCCTGATCAATGCAACTCCCCTGGGCACTGTTGCCGGATACCCTGGTGGGGATACGCGAAGCGTCAAACATCGAGCCCCAATAGGACGCCAAGAAGACCCCAAGAGCGCCCAACCAAAGAGCGTCCCAATGGGGCCCCAAGACGCGATTTTTCGGGCTCCGATGGGGGGACCTTGAATGAGTCCACCCCCTCGTTTGCTCGATGGCCTTCAAGATGGCGCCAAGAGTGCCAGAACGGCTCTCGAGCCGCTCGAGAGGGCCTCAGGAGAGCCCCGAGAGGGCCCTGAAAGAGCCCCATGGGCCTCAACCGTTGCTTCAGTATCGCCCAACTGAGCTGCAAAGAATCTCCCCAGTGGAAAGATCAGCAGAGGAATGTATGGTAGCCTCATGGGTCTGCTCAGGCTGATTTCTGCGTGACGGCTGCCCCCTGTTTGTTCCAATGCTTGGCCCTGCACTCCCCGGGTCCAAGCAGCTCGCCTGGGCATCGCTTCCGGATGGGCTGGCGGGGGTACGCAGAGTGCCAACAGTTAAGGTGAGGATGGGTGAAGAGGGCGATGCTGAGTAGGACGACGATGAGAGTGTGGACGGACGTGAAGACTAGGACGGTGATGATGAGCGCGGGTGTGCGGTTCTGCTCTCCCGCGCGGGCGGCTTAGAGAAAACAATGAGCCCCGCCCTCGAGGCGAGGACAAGAACATTCACCTCCGCCTCCGCCTTCGCCTCACCTTCCTCCGACGGCGACGACGAAGACGACCACTCTGACTCCACCTCCACCTCCACCTCCGTCTCCTCCTCCTCCTCCTCCTCCTCCTCCCTCCTCCTCCTCTGACGATGAAGGCGACGGCGACGATGAAGACGCCTCATAAGCCTCCCGTTTCGGTTTCATCTTCCTGCTCTGGCAGCGACGACGAAGGCAAAGACGACGATGAACGGAGACCCTGCTCAAAACCGCTCCCCAGGACCCCTCCCAGGATCTGCCCTGACCGCTTCGTCGAGCTGCGTCCAGCCGCGACCACAGTGCCGCAAGCCTCCAAAAAGACAGGGAAGACGACGACGACGACGACGACGACGACGACGACGACGACGACGACGACGACGACGAGGACGAACACGACGACGACGACGCTGGCGGCGGCGGCGACCACCGCGGCCACCCCAGACCTCCGACAGCGTGGACCCCTGGAAGTCCCGACCCCACAGCCGAAGCCAACCTCTCCTCCCGGAGCCGTTCTCTGACGGTCCGGGGGCCTCGCTGAGAGCCCTCCCCCCAAGAGAGAGAGAGAGAGAGAGTGGGAGAGAAAGCACCGCCCACCAGAACCTCACGTCTCGATGTCTTTTCACGACGAGAGGATCGATAGGCGGCGAGCCAGGGGGGGAAGTGAGAAGGGGCGGGCCTTCTCGGAAGGCTCGGAAGTCTCCAGGACGTCTGAGGAGTGTTCTAAGCCCTCCCTTAAGACACAGAAGACTTCTGAGGAGGCGCGAGGGCTTCTGAGAAGTCCAGCCGCCTTCTGAGGTGAGAAGGCCTTCTCCTTCTCACTTTCCCCCCCCCCCGCTCGCCGCCGAGAGGAGGCCCGAGACCCCCCTCCGCCGAGTGGCTTGCGGGCCACGACTCGGGCCCTCCGGCGGCCGCTCGGGACGATCCAGGCAAAACCCAGCACGCCCTCGGCGGGGCGCAGCTGCTGGAACGCGCCCCGAGGCAGGACAAACCTCCAGGAGCCGGCGAACATGCGAGCAACAAAATGGCGCCCTTGCGGCAGGAGGCCCCGAACAGCTTTACAGGATGACGATGTTGGCCACGGTGGGGGGTCACGATGGTGCGCTGCGATGGGGGGAGGGGGTCGGGCTCGGGACAGGGATACGGATACAAGGCAAGGGATGAGGGGGACGGGGATGGGGATCGGGAAGGGGTCATGGGGATGGGGATCGGAAAGGGGTCATGACAGGGATAGGGACAGACGGACAGAGGGACAGAGGGATCGAATAATAGTGGGAGGCCACTTGAGGCCACGAGAGGCGACATGGGAGGCCACGGGAGGCCACGCGACATCGCCCGCCCGCCTCCGCACCGGCAGCGCGCCCCGTGTCTTCCGGGGCACATCGCAGACGGAGCCTGCATACACTTCTGATTCGCGGGTCGAGAGCGCACCTCTTCCGGTCGAAGCTAAGCGGGCCGCGCGAAGCTTGAATTAACAAGGGGGGGGGCAGAAAGAGAGGCCTCACGTCAAGGCCAGGAGGAGGCCGCAGAGGCCTCACGGAGCGGCCCCACGGAGCCTGTACACACACGAGCCGCTTGGTCAGCGGCGCCGGCGGCGGCGAGGCCGCAGAGGAGCGGAGAGAGAGAGAGAGAGAGAGAGAGAGAGAAAGAGAGAGCGGGCGCCCCGCCCGCCGGGGGCCGGGGGCCGCCGAGGCGCCTGCGCGCGGGCGGTGCGTGGGCGGAGGGCGTGGGGGGGCCTGTGCGGCCGGAGCTCCCGTGCTTCTCGCCCGGAGGAGGGGGGGGCGGCCCGAGCGGGCGCCGTGGCCGTCGCGGCCCAATGCGCCACCCGCTCGCCGTGGAGGCTGCCCCCCCGGCGGCGCTCTGTCGTGGGGAGGGCGGCGCGGGCGAGCGAAGAGCGGGCGTCGGCGCCACCCAGACGCTTTGCGTCGCAGCGCGGCAGGGGGGCGGTCCGCACGCGCGCTCGGGCAAGCGGGGGAAAGGGCATCGCTGAGTGTGGCGGCGAGAGCGAGAGCACGTGGCGAGGGGGTGGCCGCGGGGCGGGGGAAGGGAGGGAGGGCGCTCGCGGCGGGCCACCCAGACTTGCGATGCCATAGCGTCGACCCCCAGAGGCCTCGACGCGTTCCCCGGGGCTGTTTTTTTCGCCCCGAGCTGCTTCTTGACGGTCCTGGGGCCTGGCGGAGGCCCCCAGCAGCAGCAGCAGCGGCCGAACATCGCCCCCCTCTCCCACACATTGCCCGTCGTGGTTGCTTTACGACGCGAACATCCCTGGGCACGCCCTGGAGAGCAGAACCACCACCCTCATGACAAACATCCCGACAAGCGGAGCCGTTTAGTAAACGCACCGAATGCAGGAATCGAGCAAGGCGGGGCTGCTCCGTAAACGCCTCGGCCCATTTAGGAAACGCCAGTTGTCGGGGTCGGGGCGGCTCTTCCTCCCTCGACAGGTCACAAAAAAGCCCGCAGACCGCTGCGCCGACGCCGACCAGCAGCCCGGCGAGGGCGCCCCCGGAGACCCCAGCGCGCGACGGCGACGGCGGCGGCGGCGACGGTGACGGCGACGGCGACGGCGGGCGACGACGACGACGCCGACGCCGACGCCGGCGCCGACGCCGACGCCGACGCCGGCGCCGCAGACGCCGACGCCGACGCCGACGCCGACGCCGACGCTGGCCCGCGGCGCTCCGCGTGGAGCTGGTCCATGTCCGCCGCCAGGGCGCCGGCCGCCTCGTCCGCCCCTGCGATGGGGCTGCGAGGGGGGGCGCTCTCCGCCGCGCGGGGCGCTGCGCCGTCGCGCGCCCCTGCGCGCGGCGATGGCACGCCGATGCGGCCGAAGGCTCTGGCTCGACGTGTCGCCGCGAAGAGGAGGAGGAGGAGGAGGAGGAGGAGGAGGAGGAGGAGGAGGAGGAGGAGGAGGAGGAGGAGGAGGAGGAGGAGGAGGAGGAGGAGGAGGAGGAGGAGGAGGAGGAGGAGGAGGAGGAGGAGGAGGAGGAGGAGGAGGAGGAGGAGGAGGAGCAGGAGCAGCTTTTGGAGCAACTTTGTTGGGTGGGGGGGGCACGCGTCGTGCCGCCCCACTCCAGGTCGAGCGCCCACGCGCGCCCGAGCCGTGCGCAGCGCGCGATGCCGACCCGCGCCCCCCGCGCAGCCGCGGCGGCCCCATCCCGCACGCGGCGGCGGCCGCCTGCGCGGACTTGTGGACTCAGGAGTGCACCAGTGCACCAGGGGTGCGCCTCGCTCTGAGTGGGTGGCGACACAGAAAGACGCCACAAACATAAAAACTTTTGGCGCTCCGCGCGGATTTCTTGGATCCGCGCTGTGGGCCCCCCACGGCGGCGCCTCTGGCGCCGCCCCTGACGCGCTCCGCGCGCCAGGTAGGGTGTCCAGCGCAGATCCAAGAAATCCGCGCGGAGTGCCAAAAGTTTCTGTTTACGCGGTGGCTCTCCTGCTCCGGCGTGCTGCGCCGAGCCCAACCTGGCCCTGCCTTACAGCAGGAGGCGGATGGGCGGTGCGCCGCGCTCTGCGCGCCGCGTGCGGGCGCACTCTGCCTCCTGTCCCTCGGCCTCCAGGCAGCTGCGGTGCCGCGGGCGCCCCCGCTCGCGCCCGGCAGCTGCGGCCGCGCACTCGCCGACCTCCCGAGCCGTCGCCGCTCCAGCCGAGCACTCGCCGGCGGCGTTGGCCTGGGCCGCCAGGCTGGCTCGCCAGTCCGCACGAGCGGAAACGCCCACGCGGGCTGGTCCCTGGGGCTGTGCATGCGCCCCGTCAGCGGCGCTGCTGGGGCTGTCTGCCTCCTGGCCCGGAAACCCCGCACGGCTGCGGCTGCCAGGCGTCGGGCTTGCTCGGCATGCAGGCGGGCTCTGCCATCCTGGAGGTCCGGCGTCACCCCCGTTCGCGCCCAGTCCAGCTGTCTGGCCACTGGTCGCGGCCCGTGGCTGGCCCTCATGGCCTCTGCCAGCCGTTCTGGCCAATTTGCTGCCGTTAGCCGCGCCTTGGCCGCTGGTAGCGCGCTTGCGACCGACCACTAGCCTGCAGCGGTGCCGGCAGGCCCTCCTGTGCGGCCGCTCCACCCGTCTTTGGAGGCGGGGCCCGCGGCTGGCCTGCACGGCTCTCTCCAACGGCCTGTGCCGCTTTGCAGCCGCTGGCCGCGCCCTGGTCGCAGGTTGGGCGTTTGCAGCCCGCTGCCTGCTGCGAAGCTGGCTGGGTCCGCTGAGCGGCCATTCCGACAGCGGCAGCTGCCAGCGCGATGCCCACGGTTACTCCAGCCGCTCTGCCTTCAGCGCCGCTCTGCTCGGGTCCGCGTTCTTCACCTCTTCCATCGTGGTCGCCGTGGTTTGTCCAAGACGGTCCAGCGTGGCCCTCATTGCGGTCTGATGCATGCTCGTCGTCTGGCCGCCGCCCTGCTCCGACTGCACATTGAGGGTGTCCGTCAGCAGCTGTTCGAGTGCTTTGGCTTCATCACGGGGCGCGTCGGCACGGTTGGTGTAGTGTTCGATGACGTCGGAGGAGGAAGAGGCGGAGGCGGAGGCGGAGGCGGAGGCGGAGGCGGAGGCGGAGGCGGAGGAGGAGGAGGAGGAGGAGGAGGAGGAGGAGGAGGAGGAGGAGGAGGAGGAGGAGGTGGGCGGCCCCGCGACACGCCGCAGTTGACCCGTATAAGAAAGATGCGCGGTAAGGGTGCAAGGGCCCTGGAAGGCCACGTCGGCCCTCAGCGGGCGGGGCGCGGCCAGCGCGAGCGGCCAAGGACGGCCCCGCAGGGGAAGGATGCAAGGGTAACCACAATGGAACGCTGCTCATCCTTGCTGTGCGGGCTGACCGTATGCCTTGCAAGCGGGTTGCGTGTCGCTCCGCTCCGCGGGGCGGGAGGATCGGAGAGCCTCGATACGTCGACGCCTGGGGACTGTGACGTGGACAGCGTGTCGCGCCGCAGCATAGGCCAGGACCGGCGGGCCGACACGCGGAGCCAACGCTCCCGATCGCACCTGCGCCCTTGCGCCCTGGCTTCCAGGGCGCGATCCCGTGGATACGTGGCCGCTCGGACACGCCCCCCGCGGGGCATCCGCGAAAAGCGCCCCGTACCGATGGGGTCACGGCCCAGGGTGCCGGCAACCGCGGACATGGATATACTTCCCGCCCATGCGCCGCCGCCGCCGCCGCCGTCTCTGAGGGGGGACGCCTGGGGGGCACCGGCTCGGGGGGGGGGACCCTCGAGCTGTCATCGGCGACACGGAGGCTTGCCCCTGATAGCGGATCCGCGCGTTCCTGGTCGGGGTGGGCCGTCGGGCCCGTCGGCCACGAATGGTTGATTGGGGTCGATGCATCACCCCCGAAGCCCATCCCCCCTGACTTTGCCCCTGAGTCTCGCGACTCGCGAGTGCTTGGCTGGGCCCAATCAGGCCAACGCCCTCCCTGGCGCTTCGCTTCTCGTCGCCAGTGGCTGGTCCGCACTTTGTCCCAGATGAAGTCCGAGCAGATGGAGTCGGAGGTCCGAGCCGATGGAGTCGGAAGATCGCGCCGCATCGCCGATGCACCAGCGATGCATCGGCGATGCTTCGGCGATACATCGGCGCATCCGGCGTGGCGAAAATCGATCGTCGAGCCGCATCACCGATGCAGCGGCGATGCTGCGCGATCCTCCGACCCCGTCTGCTCGGGCCCCATCTGGGAGGTCTAGAGCACAGGAGTTCAAAGGCCATCAGGATCGGCCCCAGGAGGGGTGCTGGACAGGCTCTGACCTGATCTGGGCCTGGTTTCTGGGGGCTCTCTGGTGGCAGCGGCTGGGCGCGCAGCCCAAACAGCTGGTCGGGAAGGTCCCCACGGGAGGACCATGGGCCGGGTGTGGCCACGGCGTCGCCGCTGGCGCGGTGGCGGTCGTCGTGCGGCTGCCGCCCTCGCGAGACGAGGCGAGCGAGGAGAGTGGAGGGGTGAGGAGGAGGAGGAGGAGGAGGAGGAGGAGGAGGAGGAGGAGGAGGAGGAGGAGGAGGAGAAGGAGGAGGAGGAGGAGGAGGAGGAGGAGGAGGAGGAGGAGGAGCAGGAGGAGGATGAGGAGGTTTGTGCTGTGCGCTCCCCGAGGGATCCATCGAACGACGAGGCCCCGAGACGACGAGAGGCCCCGACCAGCGACCAGGCAGATGCTCGAAGGACCGAAGCAACGGAGCGAAGGACCGAACAAAAAAGGCACCGCCCAGGTCCACGACCAGCATGAGCAGGAGAGGGAGGGCGAGGATGAGGATTACCAACTCCGACTCGTCAGGTTACAACAGGAGGAGCGCGGCGCCCTCACAAATGCCCCCTCGGCTTCGCACGATCATCTCGATCACAACCTTGCTGCCTTGTCATCGCCGGTCCGATCGTTTTCTACCCGTGTCCCTTCCTCCTCCTCCTCCTCCTCCTCCTCCTCCTTCCTCATTATCCTCAGCCTTCCCATCCTCTTCTCCCTCCTTTTCCTCTTCCTCTTCCTCTTCCTCTTCCTCTTCTTGCTTTTCCTGTTATTCATATTCCTCTTCTTCTTCTTCTTCTTCTTCTTCCTGCTCCTTCTCCTCCTTCTCCTTCCTGCTCGTGCTCCTGCCCCGCTCCGGCTCTCGCTCCCGATCCCCTCCTTTTCCTTCTCCTTCCTCCTTTTTCTTAGGCAAGCCGCTGGGACAGGGCTCGCAGCGTCAGTCTCCATCCTCCTTCTCCTTCTCCTCCTCCTCCTCCTCCTCCTCCTCCTCCTCCTCCTCCTCCTCCTCCTCACACCTCACTCCTCACTCCTCGCCCCATCCTCTCCCGCCTCCCACTTTCTCTCCCCCTCCACCTCTCCCCCCCGCCCTCCCCGGGCCTCTCCATCTCGCCTTCCCCATCCATCCCCCGCTCCCTTCTGTCCCTTCCCACTCCCTCCGCCTCCCCACCCCTCCCTTCCATCACTTCCCCCCAATTTCCCCACTCCCCTGCCCGACCCCCTCCTCGGGCCCTTGCTCCTCCGCCGTGTCCTCCTGCTGCGCCTCCTCTTGCGATGGCCGCTTCTGGTGCTGTCTGTTGCCGCTACTCTTCTGGCCCCTGCCCCTCCTCCCCCTGCTCCTCCTGCGCTCTCCTCCTCCTCCTCCTCCTCCTCCTCCTCCTCCTGCTCCTCGTCCTCCTCCTCCTCCTCCTCCTCCTCCTCCTCTTCCTCCTCCTCCTCCTGCAACCTCTGCCTCCTCTTCGGTGAGTGTTCGGTCTGCTGGCAGGGGGTCCTCCTCTCCCTCCGAGGACCCGAGGCAGGCACTGTCTTCATACCTGTCGCGATCAAGCCTCGCTGCCCTCCTCGTGGCCTTCTGGCCTGGACGTGCATGACGACCCTGCGTCATCCGGTATACGTCATCATCGTGTCCTGACGGCCCCGGTGTTGGTTTCTGACACCGCGCGGGTCGCCCAACCTTGAACGATCGGCGGCTTTTCGATCGCCGCATCGTTCCGTATTGGACATTTCTGGGCCACCAGCGGCGTTCAACCTTGAACGCCCGCGGCGGGGTCGCTGCCGCGTCGACGCGACACGAACCCACCGTAACATCACGACGTAACTCAGCTCTAAAGGGCGACGCCGAAGGGAGAACAAAGCGCGGAGGGGAGGGGAGAGGGGATGGGAGCGGGAATGTGGATCGGTGGTGGGTAGGGGGGATCAAGGGACTGGAGGCGCGGGGAGGGGATGGGCAGGGAGCGGGGAGGGGGGAGGCGTGGTGGAGGAAGCGGAGGGCGGGAGGCGCTGTGGAGGGGGTGGGGAAAGCGGCAGGGGACCGGAGATTGGGGAATCGCCACCAGGGAGTCATGGGAGGGAGATAGGGGAAAGGCGCCTTCTCCTCCTCCTCCTGCTCCTGCTCCTGCACCTCTTTCTCCTCCTCCTCCTCCTCCTCCTCCTTCTGCTCCTCCTCCTCCTCCTCCTCCTCCTTCTGCTCCTTCTCCTTCTCCTTCTCCTTCTCCTTCTCCCTCCTTTCCTCCCCTGAAATCCGACGCTGCGAAAAAAAACGGTATCGCGAGAAATCGCGATCGGGGCCCTATACCCAATCTTTCTGCGGTATTTTTCGGGCCGCATCGACCTGTGATGGTCCTGGGCCCGAAGCCTGGCGACAACGCCCGGTGTGGCGAAGTTAGCAACGCACAGATCTCAGGGCCTCACGACGAGAGGAGGTCAATTATCGGGCCTGCCTCGGGCCTCAGGCTGCCGCCTGGGACGACTTCAACATTCCCAGAACGCCATTGGCGATGCGCAGCTGCCGGAAAGCATCCTGGAGAATCGCCGGGTCATCGACGAGTCCCTACTCGGGGAGGGGGCTACAAGTCATAGACGAGCACGGGGGGGGGGGGTCAGGTCAGTCCTGCTCGCACCTCCTCGAGGCAATCCAAGACGCCGCGTTGGGCCTCCCGCACCTGCGGGAGGATGAAAGACTTGCCGTCGCTCGGATGTCCAGTCCCCGTGCATTTTTCGACGTACTGCGTGCTCTTTTGCTTTCCCTCTCAAAATGATCCAGGATGCTTTGAGATGGCCCCGCCAAAAAAAAACGCACACGTCCAAGCGATGCCAAGTGAAAGAGGGTTGGCAGGGGGCGGGGGGGGGAGGAAGGGAGGGAGGGAGGGCAGGCAAGTAGGGAAAGAGAGAGAGAGAGAGACAAAAAAAAGAGAGAGAAAGAGAGAGATGGGAGGGTGGGAGGGTGGGAGGGAGGGATGGAGGGAGGAGTAGGGATGATGAGCTGGGGCAGCAAGGAGGAAGAAGAGGGGAGGAGGAGCTGGCGAAGCAAGGCGGAGGAGGAGGAGAAGGAGGACCAGTGTAAATTCAAGACGCATCATCGATGTTGCAGTAAACCCTCCCTCCAAGTACCCTCTCCATAAGTCCCTAGAAGAATCCCACCAGCCCTCTGGGCGTAGGTGGTTTAGCGAACTTTGTCTTCCCTCTGCCAAAACCCCTCCTCCCCCTGCTAGGGGGAGGTGTTTATCACTGTCGCGTAGTGAAATCCCCCCCCTCCCCCAGGCGACCTGCAGCCAACCAGGAACGATGCCGACCCTATGCTCCCCACCCCCCAACCATCACTGTCAACAACAATACAAAACACACTATGCTTCCAAATTCGGAGCCTGCGTAACCAACTGGATGCGGGTCCCCCCTTACCATCCTTGTCAACAAACATTAGTCTGGCGAATGACCCAACCATATGCAGTTGTGACTACCGCACTTGTGACTATCTTCTTCGGTGGCGCCCCCTTATGGGGCCACGGAACGCTGTAATGGGTGGGTGAAACGCAAGGAGCAAGGGCCGTGTTGGGTGGTGGCGGACGCATGCGGGCGGTGCCACTGGGACCTTCCGTGGAGCCCCCTATGGAGCCACGAAACGCTGTACTGGGTGGGTGAAACGCAGGGAGCAAGGGCTGTGCCGGGTGGTGGCGGACGCATGCGGGCGGTGGCACTGGGACCTTCGGTGGAGCCCCATAGGGGGCCACGAAATGCTTTACTGGGTGGCTGAAGTCCAGGGAGCAAGGGCTGTGCTGGGTGGTGGCGGACGCATGCGGGCGGTGCCACTGGGACCTTCGGCGGAGCCCTCTTATGGGGCCACGAAACGCTGTACTGGGTGGGCGAAACGCAGAAAACAAGGGCCGTGTTGGGTGGTGGCGGACGCATGCGGGCGGTGCCACTGGGACCTTCGGTGGAGCCCCCTACACGAAACGCTGTACTGGGTGGGTGAAGCGAAGGGAGCAATGGCTGTACTGGGTGGTGGCGGACGCATGCGGGCGGTGCCACTGAAACCTTCGGTGGAGCTCCCCATGGTCCCTCGAAACGCTGTACTGGGTGGGTGAAACGCAGGGAGCAAGGGCTGTGCTGGGTGGTGGCGGACGCATGCGGGCGGTGCCACTGGGACCTTCGGTGGAGTCCCCTATGGGGCCACGAAGCGTTGTACTGGGTGGGTGAAACGCAGGGAGCAAGGGCCGTGCTGGGTGGTGGCGGACGCATGCGGGCGGTCCCACTGGGGGCTTCGGTGGAGCTCCCCATGGGGCCACGAAGCGCTGTGCTGGGTGGGTGAAACGCATGGAAGAAGGAGGGAGGGGAGGAGGGGGAGGAGGAGGAGAGGAGAAGCGGAACGCGGGGACCGTCTCTTCAAAACGAGGACCCAACACCACATGATGGTTGGGAACAATACACCATACACTTTGGGACAAAGTCTTGAGTCATGTTCGTGAGGCCCGCGGGCACTTTGTATTGTTTTTTTTGACAGGGACGGCGGGATCTCAGCATGTTGCCTGCTGTGCGGAGGGCCATCATCCCTGCCCAAAAACACTGCAACATGCACCTCGCGGCTAAATCTGGATCACGCGCGGCCACCGCGCAATCACTGCAAAGTGGCTTCTGACAAGGACTGTGGGGGTGGTGGCGCATGGCCTGCTGCGTGCAGGCCCACCAACCACCATGATGGGCATAAACTTTCGACAAGGCTGGTGGGGCCGGCATGTTTCCCGATGTTCGCTGTCACGTGCGCAAGCGCACCTAACACACTCTGCACGCGCCACGAACGTGGTGCACCTGGCGCGGCTGGAGTATGCGGCAAACCTGGCCTACGTGGAGCACGTAGCGCATCTGGCGCACCAGGCGTGCCTGGCACGCTCGGGCCCCAGCGGTGCTTGGCGCGCGTGGCGCGCCTGGCACGCGTGGTGCACCTCGCCCCAGCGTCGCACATGGGGTCGGTTTTGGTGCCCAGTAGCTGTCCATCCAAAGACGACCACTGAACATGCTGAGGCTCGGGTTTTACTGATGTGTTCGGAGGGCGGGTCGGGACGGCTTCTCCAAGATGGCTCAAAATATTTGAAAATGGCCTCCGACCATCACCCAAGAGGCCTCAAGACGGCCCCAAGACGGTTTCAAGTGGCCTCCGAGCCCTCCACGGACCCCCCCAAGATGCCAAAATGGATCGAAAACCGACGAGGAATCACTATTTTTTGCCAACTCGCCTTTTCGCTTCCGATGGGCTCTTGAGGCCCTACGATGGCCCCAGTGCCGCCCAAGAGAGCCCCAAGCTGGGCCCAAGAGGGCCCCAAGAGGGCCCTAAGAGCGCCCCAAGACGGCCCTAAAACTGATTTGTTGAGACTCCCAAGGGGGGGGGGCCGAATTAATGACCCCCCCCTCTTTTTGAACAGTGTGCCCACAATTGCCTCAATAGGCCTCCCAGATCTCCCTAGAGAGCCCCAAGAGGGCCCCTACCCCCCCCTAAGGAGCCCCAAGAGGGCCCCAAGAGTGCCCCAAGTGACTCCGAGAGGACTCTATGAGAGACCCAAGATGGCTCGAAGAGACCTCCTAGCACTTCCAAGACGGTTGTTACACCGCATGCTTCTACACTTCCCTGATCAAGGCAACTCGTCTGGCAAGCTCGTTCTGGATGGGCTGGTGAGGACACGCGAAGCGTCAGTGCTTTACTTTCATTGCAAGAAGTTGCCTTATGAACGACCACCGTCCGAAGAACTCAAGAAAGGAAGGACTGCACACCTTCTGGACTGTTGCGTCATGACATTCCTTAGCCGTGCCAGAACACCAGCTCTGGGATTTCAACACCGCGAATACATGTGACTGTTGCGTCTGGACAATCCTGCATCGCGACGGGACACAACTCCTGGAACTTCGACGCTACGACCCATGCAACTGTTAAAGACTTGTTAGATGGATGCGCGCGGCGCTAAAGCGATAACCAAATTTTGAAAAGGAACCGGCTTCTATCCTTGAAACGGTTGCTCACTTTTCAAACGAATATGCGCGGCGCTAGCGCGAGAACTCCATTTTGAAAACGACCCGCCCTCCATCCGTGAAACTGATGCAAACCTCCAGCTACAGGATCACAATTGGTGGGGAAGTCTCAGGTAAAAAGGCCCAGCCTGGCCTGCTGACACGTCTGGGGTTGCGGCAGGGAAGAGTTATCTATAAGGAAAAGGGATGGAGGAGGGGAAAAAGAGGAGGAGGACGAGGAGGAGGATGAGGAGGAGGAGCTGGAGGAGGAGGACGATGAGGAGGAGCTGGCGGAGCATGAAAGAGGAGGGGGAGGAGGAGGAACATCAAGGAGGAGGAGGAGGAGGAGGAGGAGGAGGAGGAGGAGGAGGAGGGAAGGGGGTGGACCAGGGAAGAGGGAGGAATGCCAGTCTCTAGAGAAACCCATCCAGGATGGACAGGAGGCATCTGTGGGGGCGCTCCGGCGCCCCGGATCATCTTGTACACGGCACGACGGCCCTGGGATGCAAGCTGGCCGTCGCTGTCGGCCGCCGGGGCGCCCGAAAGGGGGGGGGGGGCTCGTCGTGCCCCTCCTCCCCTGCACTGGCCCCCTCCTTGCCTAGATCCGGCGGGGCGGCGTAGTTACGTGGGGGCGGGGGTCTCATCCCCGCCCCTCCCTGCCCAAGCGCACGTGCAAAAGCCTTCTTTCCAGCAAGAGTTTTCTTTTGCTGCTGCCTGTCGACAGGCAGCAGCCACAGGACCGATGGCAAGAAGGTGCCACGATCGATGAGCTTACCGTGTGCTGGGAAACGCAAGTGCCACTCGCGAGCTGAAGGCTGGTCTGCGAGTGTGACCGAATTCCGCTCAGAGCTGTTTCCCAACCAAAAGAGTCGCAAGCTCGGAAATTGGCCTCCAGGAGCAAACGATCACTTTTTCGTCGGCGGCGAGGCAGAGGCAGTCCGCACCAGCGCGAGGCGAATCGGGGCAACCGAAAGGCGAATTGTCCGGCGTGCAAGAGGAAGAAGACGAGGGCGGCCGCGCGGGAGGAGGAGGAGGAGGAGGAGGAGGAAGAGGAGGAGGAGGAAGCGGAGGAGGAGGAGGAGAAGGAGGAAGAGGAGGAAACGCTCAGATGTGGAAGAGTTCCGCGAAGAGCAGGCCAGAGCGGCCAGCCGGGGCAGCGGGGACCGCGGGAGCAAACGTGCACAAGCAAGCACGCGAACGAGATCCGGCGAGAGCGTGACGCGGGAAGCAGCGGGAGCGGCAGCAGCACGGGCAGACACTGGGCGCAAGAATGGAGGGAGGCGCGGGGGGTGACCGAGCAGGCAGACAGGGAGGGAGCAGGGAGGGAGACATGTTGTCAATATCTGTACACGTTTGAGCTGGGGTTGCGTAGCAGGGCAGGTCGCAATAATCAGAGTAATATGTGGCGGTGGTGGTATGGGCCGTAATCATCAGTTCGGACAGAAAACTAGACTGAGGTGGATGAGGATGAGGATGGTGATCACGATGAGGACGATGATGATGCTGCTGCTGATGATGTTAATCATGATGCTGCTGCTGCTGATGATGATGTTGCTGCTGATGATTATGATGTGGATGCTGGTGCGGATGCTAATGTTGTTGCTGTTGATGATGTTGTTGATGATAGTGATGCTGATGATGCTGATGATGATGATGATGTTGATGGTGATGTTGACGGTGACGATAGCGATGCCGATAACGACGACGATGCCGAGGATGATGCTGATGATGCTGATGGTGATGCTGCTGATCATGCTGCTGATGATGATGACGATGATGATGTTGATGCGGCTGCTGATGATGCTGATGCTGCTGCTGATGATGCTGCTGCTGCTGATAAGGATGATTCTGATGATGATGATGATGATGATGGTGATGATGATGATGATGAGGAGGAGGAGGAGGAGGAGGAGAAGGTGGAGGCGGAAGTTGAGGAGGAGGAGGAGTAGTAGGAGGAGGAGGGGGGGAGAAGGAGGGGTATAACAATGATGTGTTCATTAGGAGGAGGGATGAGGAGGAGGAGGAGGAGGAGGAGGAGGAGGAGGAGGGGGAGGAGGAGGAGGAGGAGGAGGAGGAGGAGGAGGAGGAGGAGGAGGAGGAGGGAGGAGGAGGAGGAGGAGGGATCAGGAGGAAGAGGAGGAGGGACGAGGAATGGTGAGATGGGGGGTGTAAAAACAAGTCTCCCCGCAAGCGCGCCTCCAAGGATGCCGACGCCTCCCCGCAAGCGGTCCCTCCCGGGATGGCGACCGAAGATGGCGGCGGCGACGACCGCGCCGAGGGCTCGGAGCAGGGCGAGTTGAGACAACGGCAACTACAATTCGGTCGCCAGACCCCTCCCGGGGGCCCGAACGCACCAGTTTTCCGAGCTGGGCCCGGCCATGGCGGCGAGGGGCGCCCCCGAGGGCCAACTACACCGCTGTCTCAGCTCTCCCTCCCTCTGAGAGCCTGACGTCCGCTGATGTGCTTTTTCCCATCCCCAGGGACAGTGTTTCGCCCCGGAGCCATTTTGCATAGTCCCGGGGCCCGGCGACGGCCCCTGAAAGCTGGCATCTGGAAACTGCGGGGCCCGATAACGGCCCCCTTTCCTCCCCAACAAAAACCCGCAAGCTCAAGAACGTTTCCCACTGACGGTCTCGAAGGTGCCTGACAATCAAGACGGTTAGAGTGTCTCTGTCGTGTGGTGTGAAACAGGAGGACCTCGTATCTAAAATGTCCGTGGCGATCAGAATGCCAAGACGAAGTATCCCCCTTGATGGGATAAACGCTGTCCCATGCAGGAGGGCCTCCAGCAGTCCAACAAGAAAACCAACACCTGGGACAAAAAAACGCTGGTGGACCAGACGGCGGCGCCTCCTGGATGGCCTGCTGCGCCCTCTCGGAGACCTCGTCCCGCAGCGCCGCGCGCGAGTCCGCCATCTCGAGATCGTTTTGTTTCGGTTCGGTGAGCCGTAAACGTCCGCCACCGGGTCGCTCCTGCTCCTCCTCCTGCTCCTGCTCCTGCTCCTGCTCCTCCTCCTGCTTCCTCTTCCTCCTTCTCCTCCTCCTCCTCCTCCTCCTCCTCCTCCTCCTTCTCCCTCCAACTCGGCTGCACGCAAGAGTGACCCTGCAGATAACCGTTTAGAGTGACCTCTGGTGCGCGGCCTTTTGAGGGCCCGCGCGGGGGGCCAAACACCAGCGCGCAGGATGCCACGACCGCCTCGCGCGCGGCGATCGGGGGGCCCCCTTGGGCCCGCACCCGAAGATCCCGCCGGCGAGAGGTCACTCTCGCCGGCGGGACGGCACCGAGCGTGCAGCCATCGGGCCGCCGCGAGGAACGCCAGATAGAAGGAACGGAACACAGGGGCTTCCCCGGCCGCGGGCGAGCCTCGGCAACGAGAGTGGGAGCTCCACGGCCTGGATCTGGGGAGCGGCCCGAAAGCCAAGCCCCTCCCGAGCCCAACGTGGTCGTTATTTCTGCGTCCGAGCCGTGCGCGGGGAGGGCGTGGTGGGGCGTCTCCCCCCGCTTGACAAAAAACGTGGCCAGCTCGAGGTGCAACAGACCGCCGCTTCGCTATGAGGCTGGTCTCGCCTGTGGGGCTCGTCAGGCCGCTAATGGGCCGCAGATGACAGCAGTGCGCGAGCGATCAACAATCAAAGTGCGGTGGCAACAGAATCTGGCTCCACGTTCGGGGGCGTACTGACTCAGGTCAATGCTAACCCGGGCCAGTCAGGCCTTGCAGGCTCCTGCACGATCCTTCAAGATCCTGCGCCCGAGCCCGGGTCAATGCACCCTCGGCCCTGCAGGATCCTGCAAGGTCCAGCGCTCTGGCTGCCCCCCAATGGCATTCACCCCCGCCCCTTGGGCCGACACGTGTCCCCAAACATACGACGTTCTGATTTTTTCGGGACGGCGTCTCTGGAAGCCCCGACCCTTTCCCCGGGACCGGTTTGTCGTCCTGAATCGTTTTTTGACGGTCCCGAGGCCTGGCGAGGGCTCCCGCTGGGGCCGAAACTAGCCAAAAGACCTCTCGTGTTGATTGTGTTTGACGACGCGATCATGTCTGGGTCCTTGTGACATCCTGCCCGCCCAACGCGCATGGCGCGGTGCTCAAAGGCATCCCATGGTGCTGGCAGGCCCTGCCTCGGTGCAGGCGTGCTGTGGCGCTCGCAGGCCTGGCCCCCGTCCCCTCCCCCCTCCCTCGAGGGGGCGGCAGCGGGGAGAACGAGGGCGAGGAGGCGGAGGAGGAGGAGGAGGAGGAGGAGGAGAAGGAGGAGGAAGAGGAGGAAGAGGATGAGGAGGCTCGTCGTCGTCGTCGTCGTCGTCGTCGTCGTCGTCGTCGTCGTCGTCGTCGTCGTCGTCGTCGTCGTCGTCTCCTTGCGGCTCAGCTGCTCGACCGCGGCGTGGATCTGCCCCTCCAGGCGCGCCATGCGCGCCTCGTGCAGCGCCCCAGCCTCCGACCTCGGCTTCCTGCCGCCGCCCCCCTCCCCTCCTCACTGCCTCCTCCTCCTCCTCCTCCTCCTCCTCCTCCTCCTCTCCTCCTCCTCCCTCCTCCCTCCCTCCCTCCCTCCCTCCCTCCCTCCCTCCCTCCCTCCCTCCCCCCCTCGTCCCTACCTCCCTCCCTCCGTCCCTCCCTCCCTCCGTCCCTCCCTCACTCCCTCCCTCCTGCCCTCCCTCAAACACAAGTGGACAAGACTCCGTACCCGCTTGGGATCAACCGAGTCGTGCCCCGCTTAGCTTTGCGCCTCCACGTCGGCGGTTGAGGGGCACCCGGTCTGCCGCGCCGCGGCTCGCGCAGGCGATCCCGGTGGCAAAGCAGAGCGAATTCGGGCATTCATGTAGGAAGTCTTCATGCGGTGCATCATCCTCGGCCGCTTCCACGGCGGGCTCCTCGACTGCGACGAGCAGCGTAATGGACGCGGTCGTAGCCAGCAACACGACTTCAAGCAGTGCCTCTCGGAGCAGTGCGACGTCCGCACCAAGCATCTTTAGCTTCAATGCGTGTATCTCATGCCGCTTAGGGAGGGTAAGGCATTTCAGGGTGGTGCGTTGCAACCTCTTTTGCTGTCACCTGGCATCATCAGCTTCATTGCGTGTATCTCCCAGTCCCGCCTGGGGAGGGTATGGCAATTTCCATGGTGGTACTGTACAATCGCTTTCGTTATCGGGTTAAATTGTATTTTGATGCTGGGCATCCTGGGGATCGGTCTCTGTTGCGCATTGCGCGCGGGAGATCAATCAATATGCTGTCGTGTCGGTGTGGGAAACGGAGCCAGCTCCGACCGCCATCAGCCACAGTGAATTGTATAACTCGTGTCTTCAGATACAAGGCTGGGGTCAGCACGTGTGGTGCAAGGGGGCAATGGCTGTGGTGTGTGCTTGGGCCATGGCTCTTCACGCAAGTTCGTGTATACAGTCGTTCTCGATTCTGGTGCTTTCCTGGGCCTCTTGATCGGCATCCCTTTTTCCTACAGCACGGTCGTTGCTGGGCTGTCCTGTTCGTCTTCGGCGCTCTGCGCGGCAAGACGTGGCTTGGTGCGTGTTTTTCCTCTCTCCATTTCAATGTCTGGGTGTTGGAGGGAAGAGGCCATACATTCGGTTGTTGTCTTGCGAGGCTGCCTGTGGAGGAAACGGTCTTTATTACACACGTGAGAAGTAGCCCGGTAACCTGTGGTGCAACTCGTAGTAGGGCCGAATCGAACCGGCGCCGCGGGGACACCGTCACAAGCAACTGCGCGCTACAGCCGGGGGCACACGCAGGCTCTGTTCGCTCGTGTATCTGCTCCGTGGCACCCTGCACGGAGCCGTGGCGTTCAACTGCGCCCGTGACACTGGTGCCGTGCTCCGTGGCCATCAGGCACGGGGAACGTGCATTCGGTTGAGAGGCGGGGCCATGTGGTCCGTGAGCCCCGCGGGTCTTTCGTGCCCGCTCGCCCTGCGGCACCAGCCAATCCGCACATGCCAGTCGATCTGGCTTGGCTGGGGCGATCGTCGGGGAATACTTTCGCGGTGACGAGGTGAGCCCGCCGACCACCCGCACGAACCATGCCATCTCGTCTGGGCGGCCTTGTCACGGGACGACGAGGCGTTTGCCCATCCCCTGCCTGTTTCGTGTGCTCCGTGCCTGCGGGTGCGCGGCTCCTCCCCTCTGGGAAGCGGTAGGTGATCGGATGTCTTGGGAGAGCACCGTGCCACTTCCTGCGTTCCACGGCTCCATGACTCCACTTCGCTCCCTCCCTCCCTCCTTCCCTCCCTCCCTCTCTCCCTCCCTCCTCATCCCCCTCCTCCCCCCCCGCCTTCTCCGCCGCCTCCTCTTCCTGCCTCCTCCCTCCTTTCTCCTCCCTCCTGCCTCCTTCCTCCTTCCTCCTCCCTCCTCTATTCTCCCTCCTTCCTCCTCCCTTCTGCCTCCTCCCTCCGGTTTCGTCTTGCTTCTTTCGTCATCATTCGTATCAGACTAATTCGTGTTATTGTGTTCCCTCTTATTGATATTCTTCTTCTCCTCCCTCCTCCTGCTCCGCTTCTTCTCCTTCTTCCTCTTCTGATCGTTGCTCGCATTATTATAACTATAATAGTTCTGCCAATTCTTCCTCTTTTTCCTGCTCCTCCTCCTGCTCCTCCTCCTGCTGCTCCTCCTGCTCATGCTCCTGCTCCTGCCCCCCCTTTCCTATTCCTCCTCCTCCTCTTCATCCTCCTCCTCGTCCTCCTGCAGAAGGCTCGAAGTTCGTCGGCATATTTTTGTCTGGGCGTGTTTGGCCCGTATTGGGCATCCGGCAACCTCCGCGAGCCTCCGCGGGCCTGTGGGGTCCTCGGGGGGGATGGGACATATGTGTTCGAACTATTTCGGAGGCGTCCAACAAGGCCCCACTAGGCCACCAAGGGGCCCCCAAGAGGCCCCAAAGAGGCCTCAAGAGGCCCCCAAACAGCCCCCAAGAGGTCTTCAAACTGCCTCCAAGAGGCCCCCGAGAGGCATAACGAACATCCAATAGGCTTCATACCCACAACCCAGGCACGGTGGCGGGATGGGCCGAAGGCCATTGTAGGTGTTCGAACCATTTCGGAGTCTTCCAACAATTACTACATCAATTCCCACACGCATTCTGATATTTGTGGAGTGTTTGGGCCCCCTCTTTCTATTGCTACGGATCCGTATCCTCCTCCTCCTCCTCCTCCTCTTTTCTTTCTCTTTGTCTTCTTGCTCCACTTCTTCCTCTCCTGCTCATCCCCTAGTCCTCCTCATGCCTCCTCCCTCTCGCCCTCCCTCTTTTTTCTTCCTCTTCTTCTTCTTCCTGCTCCTCCTGCGCCTCCCCGAATGCCCAGCTACTCATCAAACAGTGTGCCGTATAAACTAGGCGAGTGACAGAAAGAGGACAACCCTCCCACTACATTTCGAGCCCCAAACCGTCTCCTTCTCCGCCTCCTCTTCCTCTTTCCTCCCCTTTCTTTCCCCTTCTCCTCCTTCTCCTCCAGCATTATCCTTCCCTCTGCTTCCTGCCCCGCCGCAACATCTCTCCTCGTCCTACCTCCTCCTCCTCCTCGTCCTCCTCCTCCCTCCTCTTCCTCCTCCTTCCACCTTTGCCTTCCGCCTCATCCCTCCTCCTATCCCTTTCTCCCACCTCGTAACCCCCTCTTCTGACTCTTCCTCCTGCCACCCCTCTCCTTCCCTCGTCATCGTCCTCGTCGTTGTCGTCGTAGTCCCACCCTCTGTTCCTCCCTCCTCCCACCACCCTGCTCCGTCCTCCCTGCTCCATCCTCCATCCAAGCTCCCCCTCCTCCTCCTCCTCTTCTTCGTCTTCCCACCTGCTCGGCCACTTTTGCTCGCTCCGTCATCCTCCTCTTCCTCCTCCTCCTCCTTCTTCTTTTTCTTCCTCTCCTCCCTCTCCTCCTCCTCCTCCTCCTCCTCCTTCCACTCCTTCTCCTCCTCCTTCCTCCTCCTCCCTCTTCCCTGGTCCACCTACTCCCTTCTCCTCCTCCTCCTCCTCCTCCTCCTCCTCCTCCCCCTCCTCCTCCTCCTCCTCCTCCTCCTCCTCCTCCTCACCCTTCTCCCTGCTCCCCCTTCCCTCCTCCTCCTCCTCCTCCTCCTCCTCCACCTCCTCCCTCCTCCTCCCTCACTTCGCCTGCTCCGCCGCTGGAGAACTCTGGATGGCATCCGAACGCATCAGAGAAATCAGACATCCGCACCCGAAAGCCTTCGGACTTCGCAGGGGACGCTCGGAAACCTCTCCTTCCCCTCCTCCTCCACCCAGTTATGTTCGTCTCTTCCTGCTCCTTCCTTTACTCCTCTCCCCCCTCCTCTCTCTCTCAGTCTCTCTCTCTCTCACTCTCTCTCTCTCCTCTCTCTCCTCTCCCCTTCTCCTCCTCCTCCTCTTCTCCTCCTCCTCCTTCTCCCCCCCCCTTCTCCTCCCCCTCCTTCCTCCCTCCTCCCTCCTCCCTCCCTCCTCCTCCCTCCTCGTCCCTCCTCCCTCCCCCTCCTCCTCCTCCTTCTCCTCCTCCTCTTCCTCCTCCTCCTCCTTCTCCTCCTCATCCATCCTTTTTTCCGTACAAGCAATTCATCCTTGTCGCACCCCCAGACGTGTCGGTAGGGCGGGTAAGGCGTTTCCCCTGAGACTTCCTTACCACTTACAATCCTGAAGCTAGAGAGATCTAACAGTTTCAAAGATGGAGGACGGGCGGGTTTCAACATGTGGCTCTCGCCTTCGCGCTGCACACATTCGTCTCTTAACAAGTTGCAGCAGTCTCGAGGAGGGAGGGCGGCTCCTTTTCAGAATGTAGCTCTCGCCTTAGCACCGCGCGCAGTCGTCTCAAACTCTCAGGAGTTCGTAGGGTTGACGTCCCAGGAATGTTATTCTGGCCGATTTCAAGTTGTCAGGGCAAACGCATCATGCTAACTCGCGGTGTCCAAGTCCCAAGAATGGTGTTCTGGCACTCACTCTCTCGATCGTCATGGCGCAAGAGTACCGTTATTCGCGGCGTTGAAATCCCAAGAATGCGTGTTGGCACGATTGGAGACTCTCAGACGGTTGTCTTTCAATGGGGCACGTCCCGCGTTGAAAAACATGATTGTAGGGACCTGTGGAAGGGAGGACTTGGAGGGAGGGTTCATTGCTTGATCGTTGATGCGTCTTTGGTTTGCACTGGTCCTCCTCTTCCTCCTCCTATTCCTCCTCCTCCCTCCTCCATTGGACGACCATGTTGGGCCTGCTCAACGTCAGGAGCATACCGTAAACGGATCTACCCTTTCTCCGACTTGACACTGCGTCGAACGCACTGGCCGCGTTGCCTATGGACGCATCCACCCCTAACATGCCCATAGACGTAACGACACCCACTGTGTCCATAGTCTCTTTTGGCTCCCTGATGCATGCTGTCCTGGTGCACTGTGGCTCCCTGATGCATGCAACTTGTCCCTGATTACGATACGGAAGAAAGAAGCGAAAACGGCTTTTGGAAGAGGCCCCAGGCATTTGGTCTTCCAGACGCAGGTGGACTTGGCCCTCCTCCCTCCTCCAGAGGCGCTGAGCCCCCGGCTGCTCGGCCCGGAGCTCGCTCCAGTGCTCCCGCAGCTCGCGCACGTCCTGCGCAACAGCTACCCCCCCGACCGCTGCCGCCCCAGCCCGCCCTCCTGCCTCGGGGAGACGGGAGGTGCGCAGGTAGGAGGGAGGCAGGATGAGGATGAGGAGGAGGAAAAAGGAGGAAAAAGGAGGAGGAGGAGGAGGAGGAGGAGGAGGAGGAGGAGGAGGAGGAGGAGGAGGAGGAGGAGGAGGAGGAAGGAGGAGGAGGAGGAGGAAGGAGGCGGAGCGTCCTCAAAAGAGCCCCAAATCTAGAGGAGGAGGAGCAGGAGGAGGAGGAGGAGGAGGAGGAGGAGGAGGAGGGGGACCAGCCTTCATTGCCTCACGGCGCCCAGACCCCCGACGTCATGATTTTTTCATGACGTCGACCTTGAGAGGTCTCGACCCATCCCCCGGGACAGCCTTTTCCTCCTGAGCAGCTTTTCGACGGCCCCTGGGCCTGGCAAGGGCCCCCCAGAGACCAGAGACCCAACATAGCAAAACACCCTCCGTCGCGTTGCTTTCAGCGGCGCGCACAAGGGGGTAAGGGAAGGGGATAAGGCTTCTTGGAAGGAGGCTGCTTCTTGGAAGGCGCCGGCCCTGTGTCTGACGGAGCAGGCCCGCGCCTTCTGAGAGGCAGGAGTGCTCCTAAGAAGCCTTGCCCCCTCCCCCATGCCCCCCTCTGTGCATGGCCGATGCTTCATGACCCGAGGGGGTCTGGGAACGACGGCAAGCGGCAGACCGGGTTCGGCGGTGGACAAAACTCCCTTTAGTAAACCTCCCTTGAATTAAAACGGCCTGGGACCGAAACCGACGGACCTGGACCCGCAAAAACGACGGCCGCGACGCCCTCTCGCGAAACGAACACGGCCAATTCCTTAATCGACGTGTAAAGGTAGAAGGTCTATCCACGTCCGATTTCATGACCCGAGGAGGTCTGGGAACGACGGCAAGCGGCAGACCGGGTGGGGGAAGAGGCGGAGGCGCGGGAGAGAACGGGAGACACTCGGGAACGCACTCTTCAAGGGAGAGCTCTCGCTGCCCACAGGCAAATCCGTCGGCGCGCGCGCCGCGTCTACTCCTCGCCCTGGCCGGCCACCGTGCCCGCGGATCGTCCGGAGGCCGCGGTGTGCTCGCCCATGCCGTGGCCCTCCTGGGGGAAACGAACGCAGCTACTGACACCGCTACAGTCAACCCGTACAATAAGGATGCGCGGTGAGGATGCGAGGGCCCTGGATGGCCATGCCGGTACTTTTCGAGCGGGGCGCGGCCAGCGAAAGTGGCCAAGGAGGGACCGAGGAGGCAAGGATGCAAGGGTGGGTACCCTTGGGAAGGTTACCCTTCCCTACTGTGCGGGTTGACTGTACTCCCCGGACCTCTCCCGGGGTGCGCTCTGACCAGGAGCTCGCTGCGCATCTCCAGCCGTGGCGACGAGTGCTCCTTGGGTGGTCCCAAGAGGCGAAGGTGAGGGTTTAGGGTTTAGGGTTTAGGGTCTACAAGCTCTGCCGCAGCTGATCACCTCCTGCCTAGGAGCCCACCTGCGGTGGCTGCCACTCCCACCCGCAAACCACCCTACCATAAAGAACTTTCGAGGACCTAAAGAGTACTTCCTTGTTAAGGAAAGTCTCATAGGTGTCTGATCGTCAGGAAATAATATGTTTTGCAAGGGATGGCGAGGGCTTACAGCACGCACGATCAGGAAATAGTATTTTTTGCAAGGGATGGCGAGGGTTTACATCCAGGGTTGCCAGGACATAATATTCTTTACAATGGATTATGGGTTCAGGAGTTCGGATCACGGTTGGAACGCATGGAGCCAGGGTGTTCAGGGTGTAATTATCATAAGATTAAGGACTTAGGGTTTTAGGGTTTTAGGTTTTAGGGTCAACGGCATACTCCCCGGACCCCTCCCAAGGTGCGTTCTGACCCAAATCTCGATGCGCGTATCCAGCCGTGGCGACGAGTGCCTCCCAGGTGGTCCAAAACTGTAGGTCTCCTGGACGGGGTCCGCGTAGATGGGGTCGGAGGATCGCTCCGCATCGCCGATGCATCTGCGATGCATCGACGATGCATCTGCGTCTTAATGAGGGTCATTTTGTCCCTGGCACGTGCATGCGCCACTCTGGCCAATTTACTTCGTTCCGCGCCCCGGACGTTGATCCCGCTCCCTGTCCCTCGCCTTGGAGCCGCGAACCAAAAAAAGAGGATGCATCGACGATGCATCGGCGACATCGGCGATGCATCGGCGCCGTCGGCGCAGAGAAAGTCGGGCTCCACATCGAGCCGCATCGTCGATGTATCGGGGATGCGACATCATCCTCAGACCCCATCTGCTCGGACCCCATCTGCGGGGCCCAGGGACAAGACGAGAACGAAGGAAGGTCAGCGGTATCGGCACTTTCTCCTCCTCTGAGCCCCCCCCGATTCTCCACGGCCCCATAACTCCGAACTTACTCTCTGGGTCCAACTTTTCGCCCCGCATCCGTTCGATCGCCCAGAGCCCGTTCAAGGCCCCCGAAGGCCAAAATCGAGGAGCAACCGCTGGTTCAAACGATCAGATCGTCGGAGATCCCCAGAGGTCCGATGTCCCAACGTTGTCAATGCAGGGTCCCCCAAAAATCTCGACTCACTCCCGGGGCCCGGTTTTGACGGTCTATGGGGCCTGGCGAGTGCCTCTATACAGGCCGAAGGTAGCGCAAAACCCTCGCCTCGATTTTCTCCACGGGGACCTCTGGGTCTGGGTCGCTACCTTTTCTTCCTCCTATCTCTCCTGCTCGATCTTCCACGCCAGGGCGGCCAGGCTGCTGTGGCGGCCCTCTGGCAGGCGGCTCCATGGGCAAGCGGCTGCCAAACGGGCAGAGGCCTCCGCCTGCAGGGAAGCCCGTAATCGAATCGATGTCGGATCGGTGATCGAGACGAATCGGATCGGCTGAAATCGGCAGCCAAGTCGCGAGAAGTCGAGTCGGCGGACATCGGCAGGCTGGTAAGGCCTCCACTGAGGCATTGGAATCCGAATGGGAATCCGAAGCCAAATCGAATCAAAATTGGAATCGATCGAAGTCGAATCGAACCGAATCGGAGGAGTCGAATTGAGCGCTGGCCTGACGCCAGGCCATGACGCCCTCCAGGCTCGCAGGGCGCCCCGACCCGCGCCCGATGCACTGCGCCGTGGCGGGCCTGATGTGCAACACCACCTCCTCGGGGACTGTCGCGGTGCCCTCGTGGAGGGGGAGGAGGAGGAGGAGGAGGAGGAGGAGGAGGAGGAGGAGGGAGGATGGAGGAGGAGGAGGAGGGAGGAGAGGAGGAGGAGGAGGAGGAGGGGGAGGAAGAGGAGGAGGAGGTGGAGGAAGGAGGGAGGAGGAGAGGAGGAGGAGGAGGAGGAGAGGAGGAGGAGGTGAGGAGGAGAAGGGGAGAGTGAGGAGGACGAGGAGGAGGAGGAGGAGAGGAGCAGGAGGAACAGGAGCAGGAGCAGGAGGAGGAGCGTCGGAGCCTCTTGCCACCCCCGTGCGGCCGGCCCCGCCGCGGCTGCCCACGCAGCGGCCGGCGCGCCCGGCGGGCCCGGCGCCCGCCCCGGGCATGCCTCCGCGGAGCCGCTGGCCGCTGCGGCTGAGGCCGGCCGGCGCGGGCGAGCCTGGCCACTGGCCGGGCCGTCGGCGCCGCTGGTCGGGCCGCCGCGGGAGAGCCACGACGCGGCGGGGGGCCTCGCGAGGGGTGCTTCACGTCCTCGTCGTTGTCCTCGTCGTTGCCCTCCTCCACGTCGTCGTCGTCGTCGTCGTCGTCGTCGTCGTCGTCGTCGACGTCGTCGTCGTCGTCGTCGTCGTCGTCGTCGTCGTCGTCGTCGTCGTCGTCGTCGTCGTCGTCGTCGTCGTCGTCGTCGTCGTCGTCCTCGTCCTCGTCTTCGTCGTCGTCGCCGTCGCTGTCGTCGCCGTCGTCGTCGTCGTCGCCGTTCTCCTCCTCCTCGTCGTCGTCCTCGTCGTCGTCGTCTGTCGTTGTCCCCGTCCTTCCCGTCCTCGAATTCCTCGTCGTCATCCCTGGCCTCTGACCCACCCCGACCCCATTCGGGCTGGGGGCCGTGCAGGTTCCATCTGTCTGTGTTTTGTTCCATGTTCTGGGGTAGCCCCCCCACTGGGATGGTTTGGTGGGCACTGCGCCTCTTCCCGGGGGACCGCAGGCGCAACGGCGCTGGGCCCGCTGGGCCGGCGGCGGCGGCGGCGGCGGCCTGCTGCGGCTTGGCGGCGCCGAGCAGCACCACTCCAGCGCCCGCCGCGATGTGTGACAGAAAGTCGGGCGCCGCTCCGGGCGCGGCGGCGGCGGGCGTCGCTGGGCACGACCCTCGCCTGTGCGCCCCGCGGCCGGGGCTGCGGGCGGCCGCTGGCGCCAGTGCTCCGGCAGACTGGGCGCGCCGCACGGCCGCGGGGGCCCCGCCGCTAGGCGGGCCGCTCGCGGTGAGCAGGCCGCCCGCCGCAAGGGCTGCGGCGTCCGGCGCGGCGCCGCTGCCGCCGGCCTTCAGCGCCTGCAGGCGCCACAGCCCGCGCTTCCACTGCGGGTCCGCCTCCGCGGCCGGCCGCGCCTTCGCGAGCAGTCCCAGGTCGGAGCCGCCGCGGGGGGCCGAGCCGGGCCGGGAGTGCGGCTGCGGCCGCGGCTGCGCGGGGCGGGGCGGCGGTTCCTGCACGCCGATTGCCACGGCGGGCGGTGCCGCCTGCGGCTCTCCGCCACAGCGGCCGCTGCCGCCCGCGGCGGTGCGGGCTGGGCGGGCACGGGAGCAGCTGCGGGTGGGGCGCCTCTTGGAGGGTATCCGCGTGCCAGCGCGGAGCCCGTTCACCTCCCGCACCTCTGCGAACGAGGCCGGTCGCGGCAGGCCACGCGCCATGGCGCGGCGCTCCGCCTACCCTCGGCGCCGCGGCGGGCCCTCGAGCCGAAACGGCCGCGAAAGGTATGGAGGCTACCCCCTCTCCCCTCTGCCCCTCTACAGCCGAAGATGTGATCAAACACATAAGTAATAATTCAAGACACCTGGACCAGCCTGTGCCAATTTCTGTTGTTAACGCTGGAGGGGAGAACGTGCTCAAGCAACTGGGCCAGCTTTCCGGCAAGTTGGTTCAGAAACGCTGGCCCAGCTTTTCGGGAACAGGATTCTTGATCACACGCTCGACTGTATTCTTTTGTCTGCCTTTCCCTAGACACTTTCTTTGCTTCGCAGACAACCCGAGATGCGCCCAAGAGCCCCTCAGATTCGCCACCGTGCCCCACTGGCACGTTGAGGCGTGGCCGTTGAGGGCTAGCAGAGTTTCGGTAATCTTCTAAGGGGCCTCCCTGTCCTGCCCACGTCCATCCGCATGGCCCCTCCCCCCTCCTTCTCCCAAAGCTCCATGGGCATCCCGACGCCTCCCTGGCTCTCTCCGAGGTGGTCGAGATGCTTGGGATAAGATGGCCCAGCATGCCCCAAAACCAGACTTTGTCCACGGTGGCCGTCGGTACCCTCTGCCGCCAGGGGGAGGAGGTGGAGGAGGAGGAGGAGGAGGAGGAGGAGGAGGAGGAGGAGGAAGAGGAGGAGGAGGAAGAGGAGGAGGAGGAGGAGGAAGGAGGAGGAGCAGGAGGAGAAGCAGGAGGAGGAGGAGGAGGACGAGGAGGAGGAGGACGAGGAGGAGGAGGAGGAGGAGGAGGAGGAGGAGGAGGAGGAGGAGGAGGAGGAGTTGGTGAGCAGTGCGCGCGCCCACCGGGGGGCTCTCGATCGCTGCCGCCGTTTGGGGTCCCAAGCTGCTCCGCGCTGTCCTCTTCGCTGGGCGCCTCATGTCCGCAGGAGGCGGGGCTGGCTTCGGACGCGCAGCAGAATGCTGATGAGGATCAGCAGGAGAGCAAGGCAGAGGAGAGGAAGGAAGCGAAAGGGAAGGGAGAGGAAGGGAAGGGGAGTGGAGGAAGAGGAGGGGAGAGGAGGGCACGAAGGTGGAGGAGGAAGGAAGGAAGGAAGGAAGGAAGAGGAGAACAGGACGCAAGCACCGGAGTAAGAAAGGGAGAGGGGGAGGACACGAAGGACATGTAAAGGCGCTCAGCGGACGGATGAGCCGCCCCCGACCCTAGCCACGAACTGGAGAGAAAACTGCTCGATCCCTGGGGGCCATATGGATGCGAGGCCTGATGCATAGCGCCCTTTGCCCGCCCGGGACGCCCCGCCTGGCTCCTTGCTCGAGAAGGGGGTGGCGGGCGGGCGCGCAAGGAGCGTCTCGTTGCCTGGACAGGGACAGTAGCGGCAGGACAAGGAGGAGGGGGAGGAGGACGGTAAGGATGAGATATGATGAAGATGCTGATGCTGCTGCTGATGCTGCTGATGATGTTGCTGCTGATGATGATGCTGATGATGATGGTGATGGTGATGGTGATGATGCTGCTGATGATGATGCTGATGATTACGAGGTGGACGAGGAGGAGGAGGAGGAGGAGGAGGAGGAGGAGGAAGTGGAGGAGAAGGAGTAGGAGGAGGGGTCTTGCAGCAGAGCGACGAACCGCCCTTTGAGCGGAGCTCCTCCTGCGACTCGGCCAGCTGCTGCTCGCACACCTGCAGGCGCGGCGCCCACTCGGACATCGCCTCTGCAGGGGGGAACTCTGCAACGTAGAGTTCGACAGATGCCCCCAGGAGCCGGTGATCATCAGAACGTGTGTTAGCGCCAACGTGTGCTTGTCCACCGAAGCCCTCCAACACCCGTGTGTTAGCGCCGACGTGTGCTTGTCCACCGAAGCCCTTCTTTACCCATGCAATTCGTGGGGGCCGACACAGGTTGCTCGCTACTGGTGGGGCTGCACGGGGTCATTCCACACACGTGGGATAAGAAACACCTTGCAGATCATCGAGTGGAGGGCCCCAAGAGGACCCCCGAAACAACCCAGCTGGGCCCTTTTGTGGGGCACGGCTTGGGGTCTCCGTGTCCCAGATTGGCGGGAGGAGGAGGAGCAGGAGGAGGAGGAGGAGGGGGAGGAGGAGGAGGAGGAGGAGGAGGAGGAGGAGGAGGAGGAGGGGGGGGAAGAAGAGGAGGAGGAGGAGGAGGAGGAGGAGGAGGAGGAGGGGGAGGCGTCGGGACGCCTCTACGGCAACGCCCCCCAGGCGAGGGGCAGCCGAGGCTCCCAAGGGGTTGGCGGCGCGGCTCCATCATACCAGCGAGTCTGCATTTGGGAGCCTGCGACGGCGCACAGTCGTCGCGCGGGATGACGATTAATAGAAAATGGGGGAGAACGATTAAAAACATAGTTTTCTGCTATGTCTGCATACTTTTCTGACTGGAGGAGACCGATTAAAAGAACTAGTTTTCCAGCCCGCGGCCGGTTTTTTCTAATCGTCATCCCGGGCGCCGCCGCGTGAACACGACCCCCGGTCATTTATTAATCGTCATCCTCCAGTAAGGTGCGCCACACAAGGAGCGACGCTGCTGTTCTGATCAAGGCAAGCCTTGGCCACGACTGGCTCCCCGACCCTGGTCTCAGGAATCGAGGGAGAAGCGGCCCCCCAAACCCTGACAAACTGCGTTCACGAAACGGCCTCGGGCGTGTACGAAACAGCCCTGCCCTATTCCATGCCTTCCGTGGGTGCGTTCACTGAACGGCTTCGCTCGTGGGGGTGCTTCTTCTGGGGGGGGGAATGGTTTTTCTCCCCTGCCAGGAACGGCCTGGAGAACAGAGTCCCTGCTGAGCCCAAAGTGGTCCTGGCTTCAGCGCCTTACCTGCACGCCCCGCCGGCCATCTGGGCGTCTCGGCGTACCGGCCCCAAGGCCAGCCCCTCCCCTGCAGCCGCGTCGGGGAGCCTCGCCTCTCCCCCCCCGCCCCCCGCCCCTTGGTACCCCCCTCTCCCTCCGCCCCCCATCCCCTCCGGGGGGTCCGGACTTGGGCGGCCGCTGGCTTGAGGTCGGCTACTCGCGAGGGTGGCCCTGGGTAAGGGTGACCTTCGGTGCGCGGCTTTCTGGGGTCCGCGGGGGGACCAATACACAAGCGCGCAAGACGACGCTGCCGCCTTGCGTTCGGCGGTCTGGGGACCCTGTTGCTTGGGCCCGCACCAAAGGCCGCTTTGGCGAAGGGCTACTCTTACGTGCAGTTGATGATGGCCCAAGAACCCCAGACGACACTGCCCCCAGCACGGCCCCAGCATGTCCAGGGCAGGCCCCGCGACGACTCCGAGGGGGCCCCCGAGCCTCCGCAGGATGCCTCCGAGGAGGCGGGTAGCCATGAAAAACCTGAGGTTCCCTGGTGACTTTGGCCCTCTCGCCTTGTCTGAAGGCCTCCTAGATGGGGTCCGACTTCAGCGATGCGTCGGCGCCGTCGGCGTGGAGAAAATCGGGCTCCACATCGAGCCGCTTCGGCGATGCATCGGCAATGCGGCGCAACCCTCCGACCCCATCAACTCGGACCTCATTTGAGATGCCTCGATTTTCGGCTTCCCGATCGGCCTCTGGAGCCTCGAGGTTGCCCCAGGATCGTCCCACAGGGCCTTGCGAGGGGTCGCCTCTTCCTCGGGGGAGCGCCACGTCCTTGAGGAAATTGCCCGCCCCCCCCCCCCCCCCCCCCCCCCCCCCCCCCCCCCCCCCCCCACCCCCCCTCCTCCCTCTCCCCCTCTCCCCTCCTCCCCCCCTCCTCTACCCCTTCCTCCCCCTCTCCCCCGCCTCTCCCCCCCTTCCCCCCCTCCACCCCCCCTCCTCCCCCCCCCCAGTTCCCGCCCCTCCCCCCCCCCCCACTCCCCCCTGGGTCCCCCCCAGAACACTCTCGAGCCTCCCAGAACCGACCCCGAGCGTCCAAAAACCTCCTCGCGCCTCGATCCCCAGACATGCGACGTTGTGATTTTTTCTGGACGGCGTCCCTGGAAGTTCCGACCCTTTCCCCGGGACCGGTTTTTCGTCCTGAGTCGTTTCTTGAGGGTCCCGAGGCTGGGCGAGGCCCCCCCAGGGCCAAAAATGGCCAAAAACTTCCCGTCCTGATCTTTTTACGACGCGATCATGTCTGGGAAGACCTCCTCGCGTTGCGGTCCTGGACCCCCTCGGGCCACCGGAGGAGAGCGAGCCAGTGCCCCCCCCCCTCCTTGGGGGGGCTGCACCCCCTGGCACTGCCCGCTGGGCTGCACGGCACGGGGAGGCGCCCGCGGCGTGCACACGGCCGCGGGCTCCGGCCCCCCGCCCTCCTCCTCCTCCTCCTCGTCTTCCTCCTCGTCTTCCTCCTCGTCTTCCTCCTCCTCCTCCTCCTCCTCCTCCTCCTCCTCCTCCTCGTCTTCCTCTTTTTCCTCCTCCTCCTCCTCCTCGTCTTCCTCCTCCTCCTCCTCCTTGTCCTCCTCCTCCTCCTCCTCCTCCTCCTCGTCTTCCTCCTGCTCGTCATCCTGCTCCTCCTCCACCTCCTCCTCCTCCTCCTCCTCGTCGTTTTCCTCCTCTTCTTTTCCCCCGAGCTGACGCCCCAAAGCACAGCAACACATCGCCGATCCAATAGTCCAAGCGTCGTCGTCGTCGTCGTCGTCGTCGTCGTCGTCGTCGTCGTCGTCGTCGTACGGGGAATATCCGACTGGGGGAGGGCACGCAACGTGCTGCACCGGAAAGGGGGTGCCCGCGCCCAAGCGGTCGCCGCGCCGAGGCGGCGCGGGCCCGCCGGCCATGCGCGAGATGATTTGCGGGAGTCGAAACCTCAAGGGAGAAAAAACCCACGTTACCATTGGATGTGCTTTGGCCCGGAACTCCCTCCTCAGTCTACGTATTCCTCAGCCTCCCCCTCACCTCCATAACTCCCTACTCCTCCCCCTCCTCTTTCCTAATCCTGCCACCTCCTCCTCGCTATCCTGCTACTCCTCCATCCTCCTCCTCCTCCTCCTCCACCTCCTACTCGCCACCACCGCCTCCTCCTCCTAATCAATGACTCCTCGTTTTCCTGCTCGTTTTATCCTCTCCTCCCACTCCTCCTCATCCTCCTCCTTCAGCTCCTCCTCCTCCTCCTCCTCCTCCTCCTCCTCCCCCTCTTGCCCTGCCCTCCCCACTCTCGTCCGAATCCAGACGCCCCGCCGTGGCCGCGGGGAGTCCCGCGCCGACGCCCGGGCACCGGGCGTTCGGGGGCGTCAGGGAGTAGGGCGCGCAAGCCATGGCCCCAGGCACGTGCAGGACGAGGATGACTTCATGTGAAGGGGCCCACAAACACAAATAAATAACCCCATGCTCACGATAATAAACACTAGGGGATAATAAAGTTCGGGGTTCAGGGGGAGATAATCAAAGTAGCCCACCAGACCTCAGCATAATCTCGACGTAAGAGATGATCAAGAGGAGACCAAACCGAGCACGTTTTGAGACATCCTTGGCGTTTAGTCTTCATTGAAATATCCTCAACAATGGCTTATCTCGCTGGAGACATCCTCGACAAATCCCTTGTTTCGCTTGGGACATCCACAAACTATTGCTTATTTCGCTTGAGACACCGTCGAACTATTGCTTATTTCGCTTGAGACATCCTCGAAATAATTCTGTTTTCGCTTGAAACATCATCAAACTATTGCTGATTTCGCCTGAACATCCTGAAACTATTGCGTATTTCGCTTGAGACATCCTGAATCTATTGCTTATTTCGCTTGAGACACCGTCAAACTATTGCTTATTTCGCTTGAGACATCCTCGAAATAATTGTGTTTTTTATTCTCGAAGGTCTCATTGTCTGGTTCTGCTCTCTGAGCAGCCATCTGCTTGAGCAGCTCTGCTTCAGCAGCTCACCTTGAGCAGAGAGAGATAGTGAGAGAAAGAGGAGAGAGGGAGGGAGAGAGAGAGAGAGGTGAGACTCTCTCTCTCTCTCTCCCGCCGTGCGCTCCTCTGAGGTTTATTATCGTCGGCAGTTTTTTATCATCGGCTGAGGTTTATTATCGTCGGCAGTTTTTTATCATCGGCAGTGGTCAATCGCAACTCCTGAGCTCTCCCGGAAGACGGCGGCACGCAAATGATACGCATTTTTTGAAAAGCTTCATTTTGAAAAAAAAAAAAAAAAAACTGTTTTAATTGCGAATTCAATTGTAATCCTTTCAAAATTGCGAAATCGAGCCGTCAGGCGCTTGAATGCCACATTGCGTTCGAGATTTTAGCACGCGACGCATTTATGAGAAATTTGCGTCGCACGCGCTTTTGCCCGAATATCGAACGCAGTGTGGCATTCAGGCGCGTGCGGGTTCGAACTCGCAATTTCGAAAGGATTTCAATGGAATTCGCAACCAAATATAGTATTTTTTGTCAAAATAAGGTTTTTCAAAAAAATGCGTGTCATGAGAAAATTGCGTCGCACACGCTTTCGCCTAAATCTCGAACGCAGTGCGGCATTCAAGCGCCTGACGGCTCGATTTCGCAAATTCGAAAAGATTTCAATGGAATTCGCAATTAAATAACATATATTTTTTTCAAAATGAAGTTTTTCAAAAACATGCGTATCATTTGCGTGCCGCCGTGTTCCCGGAGAGCTCAGGAGTTGCTATCGACCACTGCCGATGATAAAAAACTGCCGACGATAATAAACCTCAAGAGGTTGTGCTGAGGGGTTGTGCTGCAGGGTTGTGCTGCAGGGTTGTGCTGGAGGGTTGTGCTGGAGGGTTGTGCTGGAGGGTTGTGCTGGAGGGTTGTGCTGGAGGGTTGTGCTGGAGGGTTGTGCTGGGGGGGTTGTGCTGGGGGGGTTGTGCTGAGAGAGAGAGAGAGAGAGAGAGAGAGAAGGAAGACATAAAGAAGATAAACATAAATATATTTTTAAAAAATAAGAAAGATATAACACATTTCGCAGATTTTTTAAACAAAAAACTTATAATAAAGAAGAAGCATAATAAGAATAGTAATAAGAAGAAGAGAAATATATAGAAAGTAAGACAGATAGAGGAGGAGGAAAAGCAACAATTTCAAGTTTCAAATCCATCATACTTTATTCAGAAGCGCTTTATGAAAATTGAGAAAGAGAGAGAGAGAGAGAGAGAGAGAGAGAGAGAGAAGAAGAGGAGATAATGAAAAGCAAGAGAGGAAGGAGAGGAGGAGAGGAAAGGAGAAGACAGGAGAGGAGCAAGAGGAGAGAGAGATAGAGAAACAGAGGGAGAAAAAAAAGAGAGGAAATAATAAAAAAAAACCTATCAGATTTCCCATGGATAATCAACCCCAGGGATAAACAAGTTCAGGGGGGCATGGGGGGGAGAGAGACAGAGAGATAGAAAGAGAGAGAGAGAGAAGAAATAATGAAAATGAAGAGGAGAAGAAAAATTCAAGAGGAGAAGTAGAAGAGGAGAGGAAGAGGACAAACAAAAATTTCAAGTTCCAAATCTATTATATTTTATTTGCAAACGTTTTTTGTTTTTGTTTAAAAAATATGTTAAAAAAGTGCTCGTGTAGGAGCTCATGTGCCTCACTTTCCGTGGATAATCAACCCCAGGGGTAAACAAGTTCAGGGGCGCATGGGGAGAGAGAAAGATATAAAGAGAGAAATAAAGAAAACAAAGAGAGAGTTGAGGGAAATACATAAACGAAATATTAAAAAAGGAAAAGGACAAGAAGAAATGAGGAGGAGAAGTAGAAGAGGAGAGGAAAGGAGGATAAAACAAAAAATCTGAATATTCAAATGTATTAGATTTTTATGTACAAGCGCTTTATGAAGTTAAAATTTTTAGGTGCTCGTGTAGGGTAGCTCATGTGCCTCACTTTCCGTGGATAATCAACCCCAGGGATAAACAAGTTCAGGGGGGCATGGGGAGAGAGAGAGAGAGAGAGAGGAACCAAAAAAAGAAATAAAGAAATATATAAAGAAATAAAAATATAAATTAAGAAAAAAGAAGGAGAAGAGAAGAGGAAGAAAAAGAGCAAAACAATTCAAGTTCCAAATCTATTATATTTACACTCAGCACTTGTGTTAAGAAATTATGTGTTAAGAAATTGAGACCCAGCTTCGGTGAACTTCTTAACCCCGGTGCGAAACCCAGCTTTCGCCCCCGAATTTCTTAACGAATCGGGTATTGCCACGCGACCACCGGCACAGCCACAGCACGACCACCGAGAACCACCACCCAGCAAGACCACCCAGCACGACCACCCGGCACGACTGCCCAGCAGGACCACCCAGCACGACCACCCCCCAGCACGACCACCCAGCACGACCCCCGGGCACGACCACCCCCCAGCACGACCACCCAGCACGACCACCCAGCACGACCACCCAGCACGACCACCCGGCACGACCAGCCAGCGCGACCACCCAGCACGACCACCCAGCACGACCACCCTGCACGATTACCCAGCACGACCACCCAGCACGACCACCCAGCACGACCATCCAGCACGACCACCAGCACGACCACCCAGTACAACCACCCAGCACAATCCCCAGCACGACCACCCCCCAGCGCGATCACCCCCCAGGTGCGGAAGAGGTTGTGCTGGGGCGTTGTGCTGTGGGGTTGTGCGACCGGCAGGGGTTGTGCTCAGGGGTTGTGCTGAGGGCTTGTGCTGAGGGGTCGTGATGGGGGGGTGTGCTGAGGGGTTGTGCCGGGGGGTTGTGCTGAGGGGTTGTGCTGGGGGGTTGTGCTGAGGGGTTGTGCTGAGGGGTTGTGCTGAGGTGTGAAACATGGGAGGTGCCTACTCCCATTGTGCTGAGGTATTTGCTGATAGTTGTGCTGGGGGGTTTGTGTGAGGGGTTGTGTCTAGTGGTTGTGCTGAGGGTGGTGCTGGGGGGGGTTGTGCTGGGGGTTGTGCTGCGGGGTTGTGCTGAGGGGGTTGTGCTGAGTGGTTGTGCTGAGGAGTTGTGCTGATGAGGGTTGTGCTGAGG